TTGCCTTCGCCGCAATACTGAATCTCAACGGATAGTATGTAAGGTTAATTGCGGAAGGGCTTACGATAATCAAAACCCTATCGCCCCGGGATATTTACCCGGCCGCGTTGATAATCTAGGATTATGCCTATAGCGTTATGGGGGACGCTGTAAGGTCGTTATAAGAGGTATATAACTTTGTTGAATATAGAGAGTTCTGGAGGATATATAAAAAAAGCCTGGAATCATTCCGAGACTTATAGTAGATCATACGGGATACGATAAAAGTCTAGGAAGGGCTCGATCGGTTTAAGGCGAATATACGGAAGCGAGCGATCCTCTAGTAGGGCGAGCAGTAGGCTAATACTCTTCTGATACGTATAGGAAGCTACGCTATACTCCGAAAGGTTAGTAAGACTATTAGTAAGGGGCTATCGTATCCTAAGCTCTAAGCTGCTATTAATAACGCGATTGTGTACCGGAAGTCTAGACGTGGCCGTAACATTCGCTAGTATGCTCGAATTATATAAATTGATCTCGACGTAGCGTTAGCGTAGCGGAATTTCGAACCTCTCAATCCTAAAACCCTATATACGCTCGCGCTTAGGGTAGATATAGATAGATTTATCTGCTCAATTCGATTAGGTTGCTAAATACGGGCTACGGGTATAATACTACTAGTACCGCTAGTACAACCTACAGGGGCCGCGAACGCTATAGACCCTCCGGGGTCTCTAGAGAAGAGACCCCGCGACGAGACGCTATTATCAATATTATTACCGTTATTATCTTTACTATCAACCCCCTCTGTTCTATCTAATAACGAGTAGGACGACGAGTAGGACGACGAGGAGTAAGACGACGAGGAATAGGACGACTAGGACAATAACGATAAGGAGTAGGACGACTAGGAGTAGGACGACTAGGGAGTAGGACGACTAGGAGTAGGACGACTAGGAGTAGGACGACTAGGAGTAGGACGACTAGGAGTAGGACGACTAGGACGATAACGACGACGACAAGTAGGACGATAAGGAGCCTCTTCCTCGCCCTTAAAAGTGATTACGCCTAACTCCTAAGAACCCACTTGCCAGCTATAGCTGTGCTCTTATAAATGCCGCAATTCGGCGTCTTCTAAGGGGGACCGAGCTCCCTACCGATACCCTTAAGAAGCAGCTACTCCGATAGGTTGCAAAAGCAATAGCGACCCGGAGTGCTATATATATATCTCTATCACTATCTCTCTATAATCTCTATACCTATAGGCTATATAAACGCTTAGGCCTTTACTATCGTAACCCGTACGAAGAATTACTCCGGCGGTTGCGTAAGCTATATACAAATCTTAGGGAATGGGATTAGATAAAAGGTCGGTATAAGGGTTGGTTTAAAAACGTAATAAGTAATCTAGAATCGGGATAGCGGTTCCCGGTTACGGGTTCGGGTATGCCGAGGGTTGCGAACCCGGTACTGATACAATCGCTAACGTTCGCTCGACTATATAAGCGCTGCTGCGGCCGAGACGCCGACCCTATAGTTTAGGACCTCGGGCAGTAGCTAGATCGAGACGGAAGTATTGTGCTACTAGGGCTGTTTGAATGGCTGGGGGAGGATTTCGACGGGAATCACCTAGGTAGCCTACGGCATCTGATTATAGAGGAATTCAATATATACGACTGGTATTACCTAGCCCGCCCGTCCAAACCTCGTATTAGCTGGGCTAGGAATATGTGGTTTAGCTTAGTATAGTAGATGGTTCGATAGGACCCCGTATACTATACGTTCTACGTCCGATACCGTCCGGATTATACGTAGAAGCTAGTATTATTCCCCTACTATACCAAACGGATATACCCCGGAGAACGTACCTTCTTTCGCTATATTGACGTTAATATTATCGACTTTGTCCGTAGTGGGCGGGGGGTTAATGCGCTCTAAGGGAGTCTCGCTCTCTCCGACGAGGATAGCGGCAACTGCACCGAGTTACTCCTAGGGATGTATCGCGAGATCGCTACGTGGTATAGGCGGCTGGTCGACAGAGGGTATGCTAAGAATAGGTATGTGCAGCGGATTGACGCCGATATATAGACCGAGGATGATAAGGCCCACTTTGGCTATAGATAGACTAAGTAGGTCTGCCGGTTTGGGGATGTCCGGTTAAGTTTACCTAGCCTACCTTACGGGTCTACCGGCCCGGCGACTGCCTACCGTGTTAATATCCTGCCCTAGTTCGTTGCGATCGGCGATGATTACCAAACCTTGGACACCGCGGAGTCGGGTATCTAGGATGACCTCTCGCGCTGCCATCGGGATTTCGACTCGGGTACTAAGACACCGTCCGGTCTGCCGAACAGTACGTACGGTGGTCGGGTAGATTATGTATTTCCCGCGACCGTGCGGCTGGGACGCCTAGGGGCGATTTCAGATGCCCTAGTGGGCCAGACGCGATGGGATATAGTAGATGTACGGAGGGAGCTGGATGTTTTATTCGGGGACGACGATGATATAGCTTGGGGCTATGTGCAGTCCTAGAGACGTAACGCCTAGCAGCTCTACTGTGATACGTTTGAAAACCTCGTGTTAGCTGAGAAGGATACCTTTAGGGAGAATTCCTACTTCTACCGGAGGGAACGAAATCTGTCTACGATCCCGGAGTTCGTTCGTGATAGTATCGAAGATGCTAGGTCCCAGCGTCCCCTAGGTACCCCGGAACCCCCTAATGCTGAAGTAGGTGGCCTTACTGCGGGTACCGAATATATAGAAGCTGATAAACCGACGGATATTGGTATTGGTATTAGGCAGGATGAAAGCTTAGACATTTAGTGTACGGGAGTATTTAGTGAATTAAGTATTGAATCGTCTGTTTCTTATAATAATATAATACAGAAGAGAGCTTATACTACTATAAGCACTACGAGACCTTCCAGCCAGATTTTCTGACCGCGGTCAGAAATTATACTCGTATAGTAGTAATTAACTATTAGAAGCACCAGCTAGTATCTAAAGTTGATTTAAATAGAAATTGGACGTAGTCTAAATCTGGGAGTAGGCGATGGTCGGAAATGCAGAAGTTTAGTTTGGTCCAAAATGCAGAAGTTCGGGATGGTCGAAAATGTAGAAGTTCAGTTTGAACGACTTCTTCTGCATTTTGGACCAACCCGAACTTCTGCATTTTCGACTACGGCCAACTTCTATACTTCGGACTATATTATACTACTATAGGTACTACTAGACCTTCAGCCAGTTTTCTGACCGCGGTCAGAGATTACACTCGTATAGTAGTATTTAACTACTAGAAGCACTAACTAGTATCTATACTTTATTTAAATAGAAGTTCGACGTGGTCCAAATCTAGGAGTGGGCGATGGTCGGAAATACAGAAGTTTAGTTTGGTCCAAAATGTAGAAGTTCGGGATGGTCGAAAATGCAGAAGTTTAGTTTAGACGATTCTTCTGCATTTTGGACCAACCCGAACTTCTGCATTTTCGACATCGGATTATAATCCATTTTTAACTATACCCAACTATATATTTTAGACTATATTCTCCCTTAATAAGTAGAAGCACTAACTAGTATCTACAGTATTTTAAAATAGATATATGGCGTGGTTAAATTTCTGGGAGTAGGCAATGGTCCAAAATACAGGAAGTTCAGTTTGGTCTAAAATGCAGAAGTTCGGGATGGTCCAAAATGCAGAAGTTTAGGTTAGACGACTTTTCTGCATTTTGGACCAACCCGAACTTCTGCATTTTCGACCATCGGATTATAATCCATTTTAACTATACCCAACTACTACATTTCAGACTATATTCTCCCTTAATAAGCAGAAATTATACTTATATAGTAGTAATTAACTATTAGAAGGACCAATTGGTATCTTTTTTATCTTAAAACAGATATATAGCGTGGTCAAATTTGTGGGAGTAGGCGATGGTCGGAAATGCAGAAGTTCGGTTTGGTCCAAAATGCAGAAGTTCAGTTCAGATGATAACTTCTGCATTTTAGACCAAAGCTTCCCTTTTGGGAATTTTCGACCAAACGCTAACCCGATTCGGAATTTTGAACCAAAGCTACCGATCCAGTTGACAAACTTCAACCCCTTCCAAAGAATTAAATAAAATAGATAAAATTATACAGGCTTCACATATAGGTTTATATATACTATGAGTTTGTCTAAAAAATATAAAAAATATAAATATCATAGAATAGAGGCTTTAATATGTGCCTGTATTCGGCTAATAGAAACCGATTAAGCTTAGGCGATACCGAGAGGTAGCAGAGTATCCGGAAGGTGGCCTAGTTTATAGTAGTAGGGCTGTCCGCTAATACGGCGGAGGCCGCGGTAGGAGTATCGCTGGGGGGCCTATAAAGGCTTTTACTAAGGATGTTAAATATACGGTTATAGATGTCCTAGGTGTACCGGGTATACCGAAGCTCGACGATCGAGATGTGAAGGCGCGGGATGTCGTCGCTGATAACGATCGTAGTACTATGGGGCCTAATTATCTAGTTACCGGCCTTACGGGTTAGGCTGCTTAGATATAGGACGATAGGAAGGGCTAGGAACCTATTCGTAGTAGAGAGTTTACTACGCCGGGCTAGGACTACTAGACCACGGGGATCTAGTAAGTAGTATAGCTTACCTTTAAGGGGAAGCTGCTCGACCGCGGACTACTGGGTATACGGCTCTAGGGGGTCGCTCGCGGTAGCCGGGGAGGGCGTGATACTAGGAGGAGGAACTTTTACGGGCTATTAGCCGGGATAGTAAACTCCGCCTTCTATAGCAACGCTAGGTAGCCGTAGTAGTCTAACGCCCGGTTCTATATAGGGGTCGCGGTTAGATACTAGGTATACTGCCGGTTAAGGAGGGCGACCGACTAGTACTAGCGTGAGGAGATAGTCTTTAGGCGGTGGCCCTTATTGTAGATCACGCGGTAGAAAGAGGTAGTGAGGTCGGAGCGGAACCGGCGGGGCTAGTATATAGTAGCTTTACCTACCGAGGACGGGCTAGCCGCCTACTCCTAGAGCTCGCTTAGTTTAGTGACGGCGGCGTCGACGCCCGGGGGATAAGGGGTGCTGACGCTGTCGGTAGGCGGGGTATATACGCTACTAGGGGAATCTGGCTCGTCCGAGACCGACGGGGTTACGACGTCGTCGGGGTCGGGTATATCCTTATCTACGTCGGCTTCGGCGGTAGTAAGATTAAGGGCTATAGGGTCGGTCTCCTTCCGCGTGGCCTTCTGGGCGCGGTGCGTCGACGCGCTATTCTTGTCGATCTCGGTGGTAGTACGCGTGGCCTAGGTATTGTATGATAAGAGGATTACGGTACGCGCCGAGGAGGTTTGATAGGGGGGGTAGCGGCCGAGGAAGGCTTGGACCTTGTCGAGTGACTCGAGTAGTATTAGCTTACGCTCGGAATCGCTAGTACGGGTTTTAGTACTGTAGAAGAGCCGGACTGTTAGGGCGTCCCTAAAGTAGCGCTCGATCTTTAGGAGCTATATATCGATTAGGGCCGAGGGTATTAGGATTAGGGTAGGCCGGTATAGGGGCCGGGGTTAGACGAGGGCCGCCTGGTAGATAAGCGTAAGTGCGGTTAGGGTCTTCCCGAGGCTATATATGTTAGCGAGGATCCCGCTGTGGAGCGGGCTAGCCTCCTACTAGAGTATCTAGGATATACCCGTAACCTGCCACGGCTTAAGGATTGTAGAGGAGACCGGGTATAAGGAGGGTAGGGTGAGTACCGGCTGCCTATCGCTGTTGACTGGAATTTGTGTATGGCGGGTTGCGAGATTAAAGGGATACGTAAGACGATCGAGGGATATATCCCGGGCGTAAGTGAGCGCGGCTAGGTTAGCTAGTAGAATTGGCTTATTGTCGGTAGTCTTATCGGTATAGCTAGTAGAGGGGCCGAGAGATATATCGGGGATAGAGAGAGCGACTAACGCCGAGCTCGACGAGATCGCGGTCTGTAGATAGGGATTGGGCTGTAGGCTAGGAGGGACCTTATCGGGAGTAGCGCGAAGGACCGAATTGTTGAAGAACTCGGGGCTATAGAGGTAGCGGTAGAGCTCGTGGACGTTAGTAAGCGTAAGAGGCGCGCGGTTTAACCGAGCGGTGGTAGGCTTGAGGAGCTAGGTAGTGAGTCTAATAACTAGGTCTCGGTACTTAGGCTCCGAAGGGACGGTATCTATAGAGCTAGTAAGCGGCTCCTCGTTAGTATCGTTAGGAAGGTCCGAGGGATATAGCTTAAGGAGGTCTAGAAGGGCTTACGTCTTATCGCGGGACTGGGCAGACGTACTATAGCTAGGGGTAAGAGTGGAGGTTAGACTAGCGGGACTAGGCCGCGAGCTCGTAAGCTTAGGCGGGACGGCGGGGCGGATATAAGGAGTGGCGGTGAGGTAGGCTTCGAGACTGTGAGTCTTTGAGATTTGGCGGGAGAAGTAGATCAGGATCTTCTAGTAGACTAGAGTCTCCTTAGCGTCGAAGTAAAAGGGAGTCTTAAGAAGTTAGCTCCGTCGGCTAAGATCCTACGAGCGGGAGAGGAGAAGGCGGCGGACGTACTATAGCGCACGGAGGTTAAAGAGATTAGTGGGCTCTATAAAGAGGGTAGATAGATCCGGGGGAGATAGGGATAGTAGGACATTACCGTATTTACCGGTATGGTTAACTGTAAGGAGAATAAGGGAGTTATAGATAAAGCGGAGGCCTAGAGTGACCTAGGTCGAGTTAGCAAACCTAAATTTATTGTTACGATCTCGGTAGAAGGCAATGATGATATCCCGGGTCGTACTGTACTCGGTACTAATTAGACGGTAGAGGTTTTAGGTATTAGGATAGCCGATAACGCCTATAATAGCGGGAGCAGAGTTATCTATACGGCGGATAGCGGTAGTAGAGATATTGATAGTGCCGACGTTCTCTAGGGACGCCTTTTTAGCCCGAGACTACGCTATGATTAGATATGGTAGGTACGGCGCGACGGGAAAAGTGCGTAAACTGAAACTTAGTTAGTAACTAGAGGGAAAATAGGTAGGCGAGGGGAAGATAGGGGTACGTGAAACTAGAAGGGAACTGAAAGGAGTGAGATAAGATAAGCCATAACACGAGCTATAAAGGCTAGCTTTCTGACCTTGGTTAAAGAGACGCGATCAGTCCTATGATTATAGGCGGCGGGGTCTTTCGGACGGTAGGGAAAATGGAGGAGAAGGTTTATAGGGGGGTTGATAGGGGTTTAAATACTTGGTAGATATAAAGTTGTTTGTCTGATAGTCGACGGCCGAAAGTAGGATAGTCTGGGGAAAATATAGAGGAAGGTTTGCTAGGGGGGGGCAGCAGCTTAAATAGATCTATAGCCGGGAGTTGCTTATATAAGGAAAGGGAGAGAACAACTAAAATCAGGATGTAGTTTCTAACTAAGGTTAGAAAATAGGTGTAGGAAGGCGGATGTATGATCGTGATAACTGTGGTAGATATATATATATAGGATGTTAAATTGTATGATATAAAATATTAGAATACTATAGGCACTACTTACCCCCCTAAGGCCTAATTTCTAACCGAGGTTAGAAACTGTAGTTGTATAGTGTGATTTAATATCTAGGAGTACTGAGCAGTGATGAGGATATATCAAAATATAGAAGGTCAATATAGTCCGATATGCGGGACGACTATATGGTTCGGTATACGGGACGACTACGTGGTCCGGGATGTAGGACCACTACATTTTGGTCCGATAGGGAGGACTACTACATTTTGGGTTATATTATACTACTTTAAGTAGTGCTAGAGCTTCTAGCTATAATTTCTAACCGCGGTCAGAAATTAGACTAGTTTAGGGAAAATTAATAACTGCGTGCGTATAGTAGAAATATAGCAATTTGACGTAATCGGAAATATAGGAGTTTAACGTGGTTCAAAATATAGGAGATAGAGATGGTCGGAAATATAGAAGTTCGAGGTGGTCTAAAATGTAGAAGCTTAACGTAGTTCAAAATGTAGAAGTTTAACGTAGTCCAAAATATAGAAGAAGGGGATAGTCGGAAATACAGAAGTTTAATGTGGTCCAAAATACAGAAGAAGGGGATGGTCGGAAATGCAGAAGTTTAACGTGGTCTAAAATACAGAAGTTAAATATAGTCTAAAATATAGAAGAAGGGGATAGTTGGAAATATAGAAGTTGAATATAGTCTAAAATACAGAAGAAGGGGATGGTCGGAAATATAGAAGTTGAATGTGGTCCAAAATATAGAAGTTGAACGTGGTCTAAAATACAGAAGTTAAACGTGGTCCAAAATATAGAAGTTGAACGTGGTCCAAAATACAGAAGAAGGGGATAGTCGGAAATGTAGAAGTTGAACGTGGTCTAAAATGTAGAAGAAGGGGATAGTCGGAAATGCAGAAGTTGAACGTGGTCCAAAATACAGAAGTTGAACGTAGTCCAAAATACAGAAGTTGAACGTAGTCTAAAATGCAGAAGAAGGGGATGGTCGGAAATGTAGAAGTTTTAACGTAGTCCAAAATACAGAAGTTAAACGTGGTCTAAAATGCAGAAGAAGGGGATGGTCGGAAATGCAGAAGTTAAACATAGTCCAAAATGCAGAAGTTTAGTTTAGATGACTTCTTCTGTATTTTGGACTAAGCCGAACTTCTATATTTTAGACTAAGCCGAACTTCTATATTTTAGACCAAGCTGAACTTCTGTATTTTGGACTAAGCCGAACTTCTGTATTTTCGACCAAGCCGAACTTCTGCATTTTCGACTAAGCCGAACTTCTATATTTTCGACTAAGCCGAACTTCTATATTTCTGACTATCTCTACCTATTGCATTTTAGACCACAGTCAACCGCTCTATTTCGTACTATATTATACTACTATAAGCGCTACTAGACCTTTTAGCCAGATTTTCTGAGCGCGGTTAGAAATTATACTCGTTTAGTGATATTTGATAACTACCGGTATATTTAAAAGAAACTCGCTCTTTTAGTTTGTTTATAGTGTTTTCGCGAAAATACTCTCGACTACGTAATAGTAGCACTCAATAGCTGGGCTTAATAGCTATATATCTAAAGAAACTCGCCTAAAGAAACTCGCCCTTTTAGATTATTTATAGTCTTTTTTTCGTGAAAATACTCCCGACTATGTCGTGGTAGCGCTTAATAGTAGCGCTTAATAACTATACGTTAAAGAAACTCGCTCTTTAAGTTTATTTATAGTCTTTTTTCGCGAAAATACTATTAGCTATGCAATACTAAGACGTATAAACAGTTATATTAAGATATTGAGGAGAGAACTTACGTAGTTTCTACTTAAACTAGTATATTTACGTGGATTTTAAACTTAATAATATCGGTTGACTTCGCTATATCAATAGTGAGTAGTGACCCTAACGTATATAAGGCGATAGACTAATCCTTTGCCTTCGCCGCAATACTGAATCTCAACGGATAGTATGTAAGGTTAATTGCGGAAGGGCTTACGATAATCAAAACCCTATCGCCCCGGGATATTTACCCGGCCGCGTTGATAATCTAGGATTATGCCTATAGCGTTATGGGGGACGCTGTAAGGTCGTTATAAGAGGTATATAACTTTGTTGAATATAGAGAGTTCTGGAGGATATATAAAAAAAGCCTGGAATCATTCCGAGACTTATAGTAGATCATACGGGATACGATAAAAGTCTAGGAAGGGCTCGATCGGTTTAAGGCGAATATACGGAAGCGAGCGATCCTCTAGTAGGGCGAGCAGTAGGCTAATACTCTTCTGATACGTATAGGAAGCTACGCTATACTCCGAAAGGTTAGTAAGACTATTAGTAAGGGGCTATCGTATCCTAAGCTCTAAGCTGCTATTAATAACGCGATTGTGTACCGGAAGTCTAGACGTGGCCGTAACATTCGCTAGTATGCTCGAATTATATAAATTGATCTCGACGTAGCGTTAGCGTAGCGGAATTTCGAACCTCTCAATCCTAAAACCCTATATACGCTCGCGCTTAGGGTAGATATAGATAGATTTATCTGCTCAATTCGATTAGGTTGCTAAATACGGGCTACGGGTATAATACTACTAGTACCGCTAGTACAACCTACAGGGGCCGCGAACGCTATAGACCCTCCGGGGTCTCTAGAGAAGAGACCCCGCGACGAGACGCTATTATCAATATTATTACCGTTATTATCTTTACTATCAACCCCCTCTGTTCTATCTAATAACGAGTAGGACGACGAGTAGGACGACGAGGAGTAAGACGACGAGGAATAGGACGACTAGGACAATAACGATAAGGAGTAGGACGACTAGGAGTAGGACGACTAGGAGTAGGACGACTAGGAGTAGGACGACTAGGAGTAGGACGACTAGGAGTAGGACGACTAGGAGTAGGACGACTAGGACGATAACGACGACGACAAGTAGGACGATAAGGAGCCTCTTCCTCGCCCTTAAAAGTGATTACGCCTAACTCCTAAGAACCCACTTGCCAGCTATAGCTGTGCTCTTATAAATGCCGCAATTCGGCGTCTTCTAAGGGGGACCGAGCTCCCTACCGATACCCTTAAGAAGCAGCTACTCCGATAGGTTGCAAAAGCAATAGCGACCCGGAGTGCTATATATATATCTCTATCACTATCTCTCTATAATCTCTATACCTATAGGCTATATAAACGCTTAGGCCTTTACTATCGTAACCCGTACGAAGAATTACTCCGGCGGTTGCGTAAGCTATATACAAATCTTAGGGAATGGGATTAGATAAAAGGTCGGTATAAGGGTTGGTTTAAAAACGTAATAAGTAATCTAGAATCGGGATAGCGGTTCCCGGTTACGGGTTCGGGTATGCCGAGGGTTGCGAACCCGGTACTGATACAATCGCTAACGTTCGCTCGACTATATAAGCGCTGCTGCGGCCGAGACGCCGACCCTATAGTTTAGGACCTCGGGCAGTAGCTAGATCGAGACGGAAGTATTGTGCTACTAGGGCTGTTTGAATGGCTGGGGGAGGATTTCGACGGGAATCACCTAGGTAGCCTACGGCATCTGATTATAGAGGAATTCAATATATACGACTGGTATTACCTAGCCCGCCCGTCCAAACCTCGTATTAGCTGGGCTAGGAATATGTGGTTTAGCTTAGTATAGTAGATGGTTCGATAGGACCCCGTATACTATACGTTCTACGTCCGATACCGTCCGGATTATACGTAGAAGCTAGTATTATTCCCCTACTATACCAAACGGATATACCCCGGAGAACGTACCTTCTTTCGCTATATTGACGTTAATATTATCGACTTTGTCCGTAGTGGGCGGGGGGTTAATGCGCTCTAAGGGAGTCTCGCTCTCTCCGACGAGGATAGCGGCAACTGCACCGAGTTACTCCTAGGGATGTATCGCGAGATCGCTACGTGGTATAGGCGGCTGGTCGACAGAGGGTATGCTAAGAATAGGTATGTGCAGCGGATTGACGCCGATATATAGACCGAGGATGATAAGGCCCACTTTGGCTATAGATAGACTAAGTAGGTCTGCCGGTTTGGGGATGTCCGGTTAAGTTTACCTAGCCTACCTTACGGGTCTACCGGCCCGGCGACTGCCTACCGTGTTAATATCCTGCCCTAGTTCGTTGCGATCGGCGATGATTACCAAACCTTGGACACCGCGGAGTCGGGTATCTAGGATGACCTCTCGCGCTGCCATCGGGATTTCGACTCGGGTACTAAGACACCGTCCGGTCTGCCGAACAGTACGTACGGTGGTCGGGTAGATTATGTATTTCCCGCGACCGTGCGGCTGGGACGCCTAGGGGCGATTTCAGATGCCCTAGTGGGCCAGACGCGATGGGATATAGTAGATGTACGGAGGGAGCTGGATGTTTTATTCGGGGACGACGATGATATAGCTTGGGGCTATGTGCAGTCCTAGAGACGTAACGCCTAGCAGCTCTACTGTGATACGTTTGAAAACCTCGTGTTAGCTGAGAAGGATACCTTTAGGGAGAATTCCTACTTCTACCGGAGGGAACGAAATCTGTCTACGATCCCGGAGTTCGTTCGTGATAGTATCGAAGATGCTAGGTCCTAGCGTCCCCTAGGTACCCCGGAACCCCCTAATGCTGAAGTAGGTGGCCTTACTGCGGGTACCGAATATATAGAAGCTGATAAACCGACGGATATTGGTATTGGTATTAGGCAGGATGAAAGCTTAGACATTTAGTGTACGGGAGTATTTAGTGAATTAAGTATTGAATCGTCTGTTTCTTATAATAATATAATACAGAAGAGCTTATACTACTATAAGCACTACGAGACCTTCCAGCCAGATTTTCTGACCGCGGTCAGAAATTATACTCGTATAGTAGTAATTAACTATTAGAAGCACCAGCTAGTATCTAAAGTTGATTTAAATAGAAATTGGACGTAGTCTAAATCTGGGAGTAGGCGATGGTCGGAAATGCAGAAGTTTAGTTTGGTCCAAAATGCAGAAGTTCGGGATGGTCGAAAATGTAGAAGTTCAGTTTGAACGACTTCTTCTGCATTTTGGACCAACCCGAACTTCTGCATTTTCGACTACGGCCAACTTCTATACTTCGGACTATATTATACTACTATAGGTACTACTAGACCTTCCAGCCAGATTTTCTGACCGCGGTCAGAGATTACACTCGTATAGTAGTATTTAACTACTAGAAGCACTAACTAGTATCTATACTTTATTTAAATAGAAGTTCGACGTGGTCCAAATCTAGGAGTGGGCGATGGTCGGAAATACAGAAGTTTAGTTTGGTCCAAAATGTAGAAGTTCGGGATGGTCGAAAATGCAGAAGTTTAGTTTAGACGACTTCTTCTGCATTTTGGACCAACCCGAACTTCTGCATTTTCGACCATCGGATTATAATCCATTTTTAACTATACCCAACTACTATATTTTAGACTATATTCTCCCTTAATAAGTAGAAGCACTAACTAGTATCTACAGTATTTTAAAATAGATATATGGCGTGGTTAAATTTCTGGGAGTAGGCAATGGTCCAAAATACAGAAGTTCAGTTTGGTCTAAAATGCAGAAGTTCGGGATGGTCCAAAATGCAGAAGTTTAGGTTAGACGACTTCTTCTGCATTTTGGACCAACCCGAACTTCTGCATTTTCGACCATCGGATTATAATCCATTTTAACTATACCCAACTACTACATTTCAGACTATATTCTCCCTTAATAAGCAGAAATTATACTTATATAGTAGTAATTAACTATTAGAAGGACCAATTGGTATCTTTTTTATCTTAAAACAGATATATAGCGTGGTCAAATTTGTGGGAGTAGGCGATGGTCGGAAATGCAGAAGTTCGGTTTGGTCCAAAATGCAGAAGTTCAGTTCAGATGATAACTTCTGCATTTTAGACCAAAGCTTCCCTTTTGGGAATTTTCGACCAAACGCTAACCCGATTCGGAATTTTGAACCAAAGCTACCGATCCAGTTGACAAACTTCAACCCCTTCCAAAGAATTAAATAAAATAGATAAAATTATACAGGCTTCACATATAGGTTTATATATACTATGAGTTTGTCTAAAAAATATAAAAGATATAAATATCATAGAATAGAGGCTTTAATATGTGCCTGTATTCGGCTAATAGAAACCGATTAAGCTTAGGCGATACCGAGAGGTAGCAGAGTATCCGGAAGGTGGCCTAGTTTATAGTAGTAGGGCTGTCCGCTAATACGGCGGAGGCCGCGGTAGGAGTATCGCTGGGGGGCCTATAAAGGCTTTTACTAAGGATGTTAAATATACGGTTATAGATGTCCTAGGTGTACCGGGTATACCGAAGCTCGACGATCGAGATGTGAAGGCGCGGGATGTCGTCGCTGATAACGATCGTAGTACTATGGGGCCTAATTATCTAGTTACCGGCCTTACGGGTTAGGCTGCTTAGATATAGGACGATAGGAAGGGCTAGGAACCTATTCGTAGTAGAGAGTTTACTACGCCGGGCTAGGACTACTAGACCACGGGGATCTAGTAAGTAGTATAGCTTACCTTTAAGGGGAAGCTGCTCGACCGCGGACTACTGGGTATACGGCTCTAGGGGGTCGCTCGCGGTAGCCGGGGAGGGCGTGATACTAGGAGGGAACTTTTACGGGCTATTAGCCGGGATAGTAAACTCCGCCTTCTATAGCAACGCTAGGTAGCCGTAGTAGTCTAACGCCCGGTTCTATATAGGGGTCGCGGTTAGATACTAGGTATACTGCCGGTTAAGGAGGGCGACCGACTAGTACTAGCGTGAGGAGATAGTCTTTAGGCGGTGGCCCTTATTGTAGATCACGCGGTAGAAAGAGGTAGTGAGGTCGGAGCGGAACCGGCGGGGCTAGTATATAGTAGCTTTACCTACCGAGGACGGGCTAGCCGCCTACTCCTAGAGCTCGCTTAGTTTAGTGACGGCGGCGTCGACGCCCGGGGGATAAGGGGTGCTGACGCTGTCGGTAGGCGGGGTATATACGCTACTAGGGGAATCTGGCTCGTCCGAGACCGACGGGGTTACGACGTCGTCGGGGTCGGGTATATCCTTATCTACGTCGGCTTCGGCGGTAGTAAGATTAAGGGCTATAGGGTCGGTCTCCTTCCGCGTGGCCTTCTGGGCGCGGTGCGTCGACGCGCTATTCTTGTCGATCTCGGTGGTAGTACGCGTGGCCTAGGTATTGTATGATAAGAGGATTACGGTACGCGCCGAGGAGGTTTGATAGGGGGGTAGCGGCCGAGGAAGGCTTGGACCTTGTCGAGTGACTCGAGTAGTATTAGCTTACGCTCGGAATCGCTAGTACGGGTTTTAGTACTGTAGAAGAGCCGGACTGTTAGGGCGTCCCTAAAGTAGCGCTCGATCTTTAGGAGCTATATATCGATTAGGGCCGAGGGTATTAGGATTAGGGTAGGCCGGTATAGGGGCCGGGGTTAGACGAGGGCCGCCTGGTAGATAAGCGTAAGTGCGGTTAGGGTCTTCCCGAGGCTATATATGTTAGCGAGGATCCCGCTGTGGAGCGGGCTAGCCTCCTACTAGAGTATCTAGGATATACCCGTAACCTGCCACGGCTTAAGGATTGTAGAGGAGACCGGGTATAAGGAGGGTAGGGTGAGTACCGGCTGCCTATCGCTGTTGACTGGAATTTGTGTATGGCGGGTTGCGAGATTAAAGGGATACGTAAGACGATCGAGGGATATATCCCGGGCGTAAGTGAGCGCGGCTAGGTTAGCTAGTAGAATTGGCTTATTGTCGGTAGTCTTATCGGTATAGCTAGTAGAGGGGCCGAGAGATATATCGGGGATAGAGAGAGCGACTAACGCCGAGCTCGACGAGATCGCGGTCTGTAGATAGGGATTGGGCTGTAGGCTAGGAGGGACCTTATCGGGAGTAGCGCGAAGGACCGAATTGTTGAAGAACTCGGGGCTATAGAGGTAGCGGTAGAGCTCGTGGACGTTAGTAAGCGTAAGAGGCGCGCGGTTTAACCGAGCGGTGGTAGGCTTGAGGAGCTAGGTAGTGAGTCTAATAACTAGGTCTCGGTACTTAGGCTCCGAAGGGACGGTATCTATAGAGCTAGTAAGCGGCTCCTCGTTAGTATCGTTAGGAAGGTCCGAGGGATATAGCTTAAGGAGGTCTAGAAGGGCTTACGTCTTATCGCGGGACTGGGCAGACGTACTATAGCTAGGGGTAAGAGTGGAGGTTAGACTAGCGGGACTAGGCCGCGAGCTCGTAAGCTTAGGCGGGACGGCGGGGCGGATATAAGGAGTGGCGGTGAGGTAGGCTTCGAGACTGTGAGTCTTTGAGATTTGGCGGGAGAAGTAGATCAGGATCTTCTAGTAGACTAGAGTCTCCTTAGCGTCGAAGTAAAAGGGAGTCTTAAGAAGTTAGCTCCGTCGGCTAAGATCCTACGAGCGGGAGAGGAGAAGGCGGCGGACGTACTATAGCGCACGGAGGTTAAAGAGATTAGTGGGCTCTATAAAGAGGGTAGATAGATCCGGGGGAGATAGGGATAGTAGGACATTACCGTATTTACCGGTATGGTTAACTGTAAGGAGAATAAGGGAGTTATAGATAAAGCGGAGGCCTAGAGTGACCTAGGTCGAGTTAGCAAACCTAAATTTATTGTTACGATCTCGGTAGAAGGCAATGATGATATCCCGGGTCGTACTGTACTCGGTACTAATTAGACGGTAGAGGTTTTAGGTATTAGGATAGCCGATAACGCCTATAATAGCGGGAGCAGAGTTATCTATACGGCGGATAGCGGTAGTAGAGATATTGATAGTGCCGACGTTCTCTAGGGACGCCTTTTTAGCCCGAGACTACGCTATGATTAGATATGGTAGGTACGGCGCGACGGGAAAAGTGCGTAAACTGAAACTTAGTTAGTAACTAGAGGGAAAATAGGTAGGCGAGGGGAAGATAGGGGTACGTGAAACTAGAAGGGAACTGAAAGGAGTGAGATAAGATAAGCCATAACACGAGCTATAAAGGCTAGCTTTCTGACCTTGGTTAAAGAGACGCGATCAGTCCTATGATTATAGGCGGCGGGGTCTTTCGGACGGTAGGGAAAATGGAGGAGAAGGTTTATAGGGGGTTGATAGGGGTTTAAATACTTGGTAGATATAAAGTTGTTTGTCTGATAGTCGACGGCCGAAAGTAGGATAGTCTGGGGAAAATATAGAGGAAGGTTTGCTAGGGGGGGCAGCAGCTTAAATAGATCTATAGCCGGGAGTTGCTTATATAAGGAAAGGGAGAGAACAACTAAAATCAGGATGTAGTTTCTAACTAAGGTTAGAAAATAGGTGTAGGAAGGCGGATGTATGATCGTGATAACTGTGGTAGATATATATATATAGGATGTTAAATTGTATGATATAAAATATTAGAATACTATAGGCACTACTTACCCCCCTAAGGCCTAATTTCTAACCGAGGTTAGAAACTGTAGTTGTATAGTGTGATTTAATATCTAGGAGTACTGAGCAGTGATGAGGATATATCAAAATATAGAAGGTCAATATAGTCCGATATGCGGGACGACTATATGGTTCGGTATACGGGACGACTACGTGGTCCGGGATGTAGGACCACTACATTTTGGTCCGATAGGGAGGACTACTACATTTTGGGTTATATTATACTACTTTAAGTAGTGCTAGAGCTTCTAGCTATAATTTCTAACCGCGGTCAGAAATTAGACTAGTTTAGGGAAAATTAATAACTGCGTGCGTATAGTAGAAATATAGCAATTTGACGTAATCGGAAATATAGGAGTTTAACGTGGTTCAAAATATAGGAGATAGAGATGGTCGGAAATATAGAAGTTCGAGGTGGTCTAAAATGTAGAAGCTTAACGTAGTTCAAAATGTAGAAGTTTAACGTAGTCCAAAATATAGAAGAAGGGGATAGTCGGAAATACAGAAGTTTAATGTGGTCCAAAATACAGAAGAAGGGGATGGTCGGAAATGCAGAAGTTTAACGTGGTCTAAAATACAGAAGTTAAATATAGTCTAAAATATAGAAGAAGGGGATAGTTGGAAATATAGAAGTTGAATATAGTCTAAAATACAGAAGAAGGGGATGGTCGGAAATATAGAAGTTGAATGTGGTCCAAAATATAGAAGTTGAACGTGGTCTAAAATACAGAAGTTAAACGTGGTCCAAAATATAGAAGTTGAACGTGGTCCAAAATACAGAAGAAGGGGATAGTCGGAAATGTAGAAGTTGAACGTGGTCTAAAATGTAGAAGAAGGGGATAGTCGGAAATGCAGAAGTTGAACGTGGTCCAAAATACAGAAGTTGAACGTAGTCCAAAATACAGAAGTTGAACGTAGTCTAAAATGCAGAAGAAGGGGATGGTCGGAAATGTAGAAGTTTTAACGTAGTCCAAAATACAGAAGTTAAACGTGGTCTAAAATGCAGAAGAAGGGGATGGTCGGAAATGCAGAAGTTAAACATAGTCCAAAATGCAGAAGTTTAGTTTAGATGACTTCTTCTGTATTTTGGACTAAGCCGAACTTCTATATTTTAGACTAAGCCGAACTTCTATATTTTAGACCAAGCTGAACTTCTGTATTTTGGACTAAGCCGAACTTCTGTATTTTCGACCAAGCCGAACTTCTGCATTTTCGACTAAGCCGAACTTCTATATTTTCGACTAAGCCGAACTTCTATATTTCTGACTATCTCTACCTATTGCATTTTAGACCACAGTCAACCGCTCTATTTCGTACTATATTATACTACTATAAGCGCTACTAGACCTTTTAGCCAGATTTTCTGAGCGCGGTTAGAAATTATACTCGTTTAGTGATATTTGATAACTACCGGTATATTTAAAAGAAACTCGCTCTTTTAGTTTGTTTATAGTGTTTTCGCGAAAATACTCTCGACTACGTAATAGTAGCACTCAATAGCTGGGCTTAATAGCTATATATCTAAAGAAACTCGCCTAAAGAAACTCGCCCTTTTAGATTATTTATAGTCTTTTTTCGTGAAAATACTCCCGACTATGTCGTGGTAGCGCTTAATAGTAGCGCTTAATAACTATACGTTAAAGAAACTCGCTCTTTAAGTTTATTTATAGTCTTTTTTCGCGAAAATACTATTAGCTATGCAATACTAAGACGTATAAACAGTTATATTAAGATATTGAGGAGAGAACTTACGTAGTTTCTACTTAAACTAGTATATTTACGTGGATTTTAAACTTAATAATATCGGTTGACTTCGCTATATCAATAGTGAGTAGTGACCCTAACGTATATAAGGCGATAGACTAATCCTTTGCCTTCGCCGCAATACTGAATCTCAACGGATAGTATGTAAGGTTAATTGCGGAAGGGCTTACGATAATCAAAACCCTATCGCCCCGGGATATTTACCCGGCCGCGTTGATAATCTAGGATTATGCCTATAGCGTTATGGGGGACGCTGTAAGGTCGTTATAAGAGGTATATAACTTTGTTGAATATAGAGAGTTCTGGAGGATATATAAAAAAAGCCTGGAATCATTCCGAGACTTATAGTAGATCATACGGGATACGATAAAAGTCTAGGAAGGGCTCGATCGGTTTAAGGCGAATATACGGAAGCGAGCGATCCTCTAGTAGGGCGAGCAGTAGGCTAATACTCTTCTGATACGTATAGGAAGCTACGCTATACTCCGAAAGGTTAGTAAGACTATTAGTAAGGGGCTATCGTATCCTAAGCTCTAAGCTGCTATTAATAACGCGATTGTGTACCGGAAGTCTAGACGTGGCCGTAACATTCGCTAGTATGCTCGAATTATATAAATTGATCTCGACGTAGCGTTAGCGTAGCGGAATTTCGAACCTCTCAATCCTAAAACCCTATATACGCTCGCGCTTAGGGTAGATATAGATAGATTTATCTGCTCAATTCGATTAGGTTGCTAAATACGGGCTACGGGTATAATACTACTAGTACCGCTAGTACAACCTACAGGGGCCGCGAACGCTATAGACCCTCCGGGGTCTCTAGAGAAGAGACCCCGCGACGAGACGCTATTATCAATATTATTACCGTTATTATCTTTACTATCAACCCCCTCTGTTCTATCTAATAACGAGTAGGACGACGAGTAGGACGACGAGGAGTAAGACGACGAGGAATAGGACGACTAGGACAATAACGATAAGGAGTAGGACGACTAGGAGTAGGACGACTAGGAGTAGGACGACTAGGAGTAGGACGACTAGGAGTAGGACGACTAGGAGTAGGACGACTAGGAGTAGGACGACTAGGACGATAACGACGACGACAAGTAGGACGATAAGGAGCCTCTTCCTCGCCCTTAAAAGTGATTACGCCTAACTCCTAAGAACCCACTTGCCAGCTATAGCTGTGCTCTTATAAATGCCGCAATTCGGCGTCTTCTAAGGGGGACCGAGCTCCCTACCGATACCCTTAAGAAGCAGCTACTCCGATAGGTTGCAAAAGCAATAGCGACCCGGAGTGCTATATATATATCTCTATCACTATCTCTCTATAATCTCTATACCTATAGGCTATATAAACGCTTAGGCCTTTACTATCGTAACCCGTACGAAGAATTACTCCGGCGGTTGCGTAAGCTATATACAAATCTTAGGGAATGGGATTAGATAAAAGGTCGGTATAAGGGTTGGTTTAAAAACGTAATAAGTAATCTAGAATCGGGATAGCGGTTCCCGGTTACGGGTTCGGGTATGCCGAGGGTTGCGAACCCGGTACTGATACAATCGCTAACGTTCGCTCGACTATATAAGCGCTGCTGCGGCCGAGACGCCGACCCTATAGTTTAGGACCTCGGGCAGTAGCTAGATCGAGACGGAAGTATTGTGCTACTAGGGCTGTTTGAATGGCTGGGGGAGGATTTCGACGGGAATCACCTAGGTAGCCTACGGCATCTGATTATAGAGGAATTCAATATATACGACTGGTATTACCTAGCCCGCCCGTCCAAACCTCGTATTAGCTGGGCTAGGAATATGTGGTTTAGCTTAGTATAGTAGATGGTTCGATAGGACCCCGTATACTATACGTTCTACGTCCGATACCGTCCGGATTATACGTAGAAGCTAGTATTATTCCCCTACTATACCAAACGGATATACCCCGGAGAACGTACCTTCTTTCGCTATATTGACGTTAATATTATCGACTTTGTCCGTAGTGGGCGGGGGGTTAATGCGCTCTAAGGGAGTCTCGCTCTCTCCGACGAGGATAGCGGCAACTGCACCGAGTTACTCCTAGGGATGTATCGCGAGATCGCTACGTGGTATAGGCGGCTGGTCGACAGAGGGTATGCTAAGAATAGGTATGTGCAGCGGATTGACGCCGATATATAGACCGAGGATGATAAGGCCCACTTTGGCTATAGATAGACTAAGTAGGTCTGCCGGTTTGGGGATGTCCGGTTAAGTTTACCTAGCCTACCTTACGGGTCTACCGGCCCGGCGACTGCCTACCGTGTTAATATCCTGCCCTAGTTCGTTGCGATCGGCGATGATTACCAAACCTTGGACACCGCGGAGTCGGGTATCTAGGATGACCTCTCGCGCTGCCATCGGGATTTCGACTCGGGTACTAAGACACCGTCCGGTCTGCCGAACAGTACGTACGGTGGTCGGGTAGATTATGTATTTCCCGCGACCGTGCGGCTGGGACGCCTAGGGGCGATTTCAGATGCCCTAGTGGGCCAGACGCGATGGGATATAGTAGATGTACGGAGGGAGCTGGATGTTTTATTCGGGGACGACGATGATATAGCTTGGGGCTATGTGCAGTCCTAGAGACGTAACGCCTAGCAGCTCTACTGTGATACGTTTGAAAACCTCGTGTTAGCTGAGAAGGATACCTTTAGGGAGAATTCCTACTTCTACCGGAGGGAACGAAATCTGTCTACGATCCCGGAGTTCGTTCGTGATAGTATCGAAGATGCTAGGTCCTAGCGTCCCCTAGGTACCCCGGAACCCCCTAATGCTGAAGTAGGTGGCCTTACTGCGGGTACCGAATATATAGAAGCTGATAAACCGACGGATATTGGTATTGGTATTAGGCAGGATGAAAGCTTAGACATTTAGTGTACGGGAGTATTTAGTGAATTAAGTATTGAATCGTCTGTTTCTTATAATAATATAATACAGAAGAGCTTATACTACTATAAGCACTACGAGACCTTCCAGCCAGATTTTCTGACCGCGGTCAGAAATTATACTCGTATAGTAGTAATTAACTATTAGAAGCACCAGCTAGTATCTAAAGTTGATTTAAATAGAAATTGGACGTAGTCTAAATCTGGGAGTAGGCGATGGTCGGAAATGCAGAAGTTTAGTTTGGTCCAAAATGCAGAAGTTCGGGATGGTCGAAAATGTAGAAGTTCAGTTTGAACGACTTCTTCTGCATTTTGGACCAACCCGAACTTCTGCATTTTCGACTACGGCCAACTTCTATACTTCGGACTATATTATACTACTATAGGTACTACTAGACCTTCCAGCCAGATTTTCTGACCGCGGTCAGAGATTACACTCGTATAGTAGTATTTAACTACTAGAAGCACTAACTAGTATCTATACTTTATTTAAATAGAAGTTCGACGTGGTCCAAATCTAGGAGTGGGCGATGGTCGGAAATACAGAAGTTTAGTTTGGTCCAAAATGTAGAAGTTCGGGATGGTCGAAAATGCAGAAGTTTAGTTTAGACGACTTCTTCTGCATTTTGGACCAACCCGAACTTCTGCATTTTCGACCATCGGATTATAATCCATTTTTAACTATACCCAACTACTATATTTTAGACTATATTCTCCCTTAATAAGTAGAAGCACTAACTAGTATCTACAGTATTTTAAAATAGATATATGGCGTGGTTAAATTTCTGGGAGTAGGCAATGGTCCAAAATACAGAAGTTCAGTTTGGTCTAAAATGCAGAAGTTCGGGATGGTCCAAAATGCAGAAGTTTAGGTTAGACGACTTCTTCTGCATTTTGGACCAACCCGAACTTCTGCATTTTCGACCATCGGATTATAATCCATTTTAACTATACCCAACTACTACATTTCAGACTATATTCTCCCTTAATAAGCAGAAATTATACTTATATAGTAGTAATTAACTATTAGAAGGACCAATTGGTATCTTTTTTATCTTAAAACAGATATATAGCGTGGTCAAATTTGTGGGAGTAGGCGATGGTCGGAAATGCAGAAGTTCGGTTTGGTCCAAAATGCAGAAGTTCAGTTCAGATGATAACTTCTGCATTTTAGACCAAAGCTTCCCTTTTGGGAATTTTCGACCAAACGCTAACCCGATTCGGAATTTTGAACCAAAGCTACCGATCCAGTTGACAAACTTCAACCCCTTCCAAAGAATTAAATAAAATAGATAAAATTATACAGGCTTCACATATAGGTTTATATATACTATGAGTTTGTCTAAAAAATATAAAAGATATAAATATCATAGAATAGAGGCTTTAATATGTGCCTGTATTCGGCTAATAGACATTCAGTTTGCCCAGGTAAGGTTAAGCGACTCATCTACTTCCTCGTAGATATATGTATATCTATTCGGTCTATCTCTGACAAGTGGTAGATGGAAGGAAACACAGGAAGGTGCATGACTACTTTAGACAGAAGTAGACCAGCCCTTACCAAGTTGGGACTAGTGATTACTGTGTTAGGACTAGTGCAACCTAATAGGTACACTTTCATTAAGCACACTAAAATTTGGAAGCATGGAAGGGCGTGCCAGAAGTGGGAGTGTATACATGTACATATTTCAATCCGAGCCAACCACAACGTAGAAACATGATGGTTCTGGTGCCTGCAGTGGTTGGACAAAATACAGTATCATTATTCATGTCTTGCTGGCCAATTATTAAATATTCTTTGGCTCATAAAAGTAGACCTTGACAAAACTATTGTAATTCAAAGGAAGTTTAATTGTATGTGTTATTCAGAGAGAAAAACGAGGCTATATATACAACAAGAAGATCAAGTTGATTTTCAATCAACTTGGTTCTTCGTATAGATATCTCGGGATTAATTCCGATGGTTCGGCTAGGTTCACGATCTGCACTAGCCTCATATCACAACAAAAACCCGTGGTGGGGGCGAAAATTACAGTACTAATACAGCTATGACAAGATGATATATTTATACATCACGTGGATACCTCTAATTTACAAAAGTGACAGAAATAGACGGGTACGACAATGTATGGTAAATCTGACATATGTAAATTCTCTAACTAACTAAAAATGACAAAATCCGCTCTTTTCCAATCTCGGCGGACATAGCTGATTAAGCAATGCATGTATTTTTGTATGGTACCGTTATCATGACGGTCCATTGATTTTCCGGTTTGTAAAGACCTGGTAATTTCAGCATGCATAAATGCATAGTACTCGACAAAAAGTTTCCGCCCCACGGGTCCAAGATGTCCTGACCTTGGACCCGTTACAGGTTTTGTCGTGTTCTAAATGGGAGCTTGCTAATAAATGACAGTCGATCAGCAGCTGGCCCCACGTCAGCAGAGCCTCTCCTATTCGAGGATCGGGCCAGCTAGATGCCACATCCTTCTTATGTGGGGACAATGTCACGCTAGGAAAACCACCAAGATTGCTAACAATGCTTGCGCATTAATCGTGTCGTCAAATTATCACCTTGAAAAGCTTCACAACTGAAATCAATGTCTATGCCCTGCCACTATTACATCCCATCCAACCTCTCCAATTCACAAAATGTGCACCGAGTCAAACCTCGGCCTTGAAGGCTATCAAGCGGGCGCGAATGGCATCCTGCGAATCCTGAATATCCAACTCACGCAGAACACCGGAAGCAACGTCGTAGATCAAACTGTAGACTTCGAGGTCACGCTCCTGGATCGCGTTGAGAACGACGCTCTTCTGGATCACCACGTTCAAGCTCTCACGCACCTTCAACTCTACGAGCTTGAGCGCAGCTTCACCGGCAGATTCGGCAGAAAGAGACTGCAGCATCTCGAGGTTACGCTCACGCACCTGGCGCAGAGGCAATAGCCAGGGATCCAGGATACCCAGCTGCTTGTTACCCATAGCTGCAGCGACACCACCGCAGGAAGTATGTCCGCAGACCACAATGTGCTCGACGCCTAGGTGCTGCACAGCATACTCGATGACGGCACCCGAGCTTAAGTCACCGGGGTGAAGGATGTTGGCAATACTGCGATGAACGAAGACGTCACCGGGCTGGAGGCCCATCATGAAGGTCTCGGGACATCGCGAGTCCGAGCAGCCAAGCCAGAGGATCTGGGGCTGTTTGCCGGTTGCGAGGGTAGGAAAGAGGTCAGGGTGCTCACGCGTGGTCTAGGTGGCCCATTCCTGGTTTCGACGCAGGCTAACGGTGTACTTATCTGTTGACGAGTCATCACTGTCAGTCTAAGAAGTGGATGCTTCCGGGGCAGGGGCCTTGTGGCTCGCACAGGAGAGGAAGGAAGATTTTAAGAAGGGGACAAACGATGTGAAGAAGGGGCTGCGGAGATATTTTGAGAGAAAGAGGGAAACAAATGATCGGCCACTAGGGATGTCTTGTGCGAGCTGGGTGACGCGCACGACAATTGCTGGTCGCATGGCCAGTCGTGCGGCGTCCATGACAAATGAGGGGGGAAAGGTGTTCGGGGAAAGTAAACAGCAACTGGGAGTAACCCAAGTGGGGAAGTCAACGAATATGACTCTTCATTCGCTCCTCTCCCCAAGTTCATGATCCGTTAAGATGACCAGACAAAGATGTTGAGGAAAAGATTGGGAAACCAATAACTCATAAAAGAAGAGCGTGCTCACGACGCACATACCTTCGGCCATGAGAAATGGAATCAACCTGAAAGGGAGATGAAGAACGCTGAGAACGATGATTGAAGTTGAAGAGTTGAAAGGGTTATCTGGGCGCTCGTGTGGTTGAATGGAAGTCCGTGGCTGCCACTTGGGAGGGTCGACCTTTCCGAGCGGGAATCGGGTAACCGGTGGAATTTTGTGGTTGCGCTTTTTCTTTTAGTTGACCGAATACGGGGGCTTCACGGTGTATTTCTATACATTGGCGTGGATTCATTCCATATACTTTTCAGCGTTGGCGCACAAAAGAACAGGACATGAACACACATAACGAAGACCTACACAGCTCCACCACGACCCCTAATATTTATTACGGCTTGCTTCTGCTCCTCAGTAATGCAGAAGTTTTACTCCAGCAATAGTTGGGCAGGAAGGAATCCAATATGCAAGAGGTAGGACGATTATAGAGAGACCAGCTCTTCCGTGACACCTGCACCGGCAGAGGCGGCATCGGCCTTCAGCACGGCAGCAGCGTTTGTATCATCAAGCTCAAGGGCCTTGATGTTGGAATGACGTTCCACAGCCATGAAACAATATAGGGGCATGCTTCATTTAAGCTAGCTTAAGCTTCTTTGAAGATTCAGTGTAGTGACTTAAATTGCTTGCGGAGAATTCTTGTCATCACGCTCACCATTGTTGACACGGTGTTCGAGGGACTGGGACCCGGGGACGTAATCAATCTGAGGAATGTCATGGAATATATTGTCTGTGCCCTTAATTGTCACCTTATTAGAACATTCGGTCCTAGTTCGACAATATGAAGCCCCATAAAATACGTGGCTGTGATTAAAATGTCTTGGTAGGTATATTGGATTCAGAAAGTAATATCTTAAATGCTAACCCCTGACGTGGAGTTGGTCTATGAATCCGGTGAATTCATTGTCCTTGAATCTGGTCCCGAGCTTCTGGTCATGTTAAACGTACTCGTAAATGCCCCCCCCGGTAGTTTCTTAGAGAGATAGTCTTTCCGTTTATGGGGAGGTATGAAAATCCAAAGGCGTTTATTGGTCTGGCTGGAAGAGCTTTGCTACCTACCGTTCACCTCATGGCGATATCCCCCCCCTTTAGTATTCCTAAAAGGGGAGCTGTACGAATAGAGAGAGGGCTCAATATAGAGTCATTACTGTGTCCCACTTGCTTTGGGGTCCATAGTCCTTATGCTAACGATAATAACTGAAAAGCCGCGGAAGATACAGACGTCACAGCTTCCCCTCATGAGGGGAAGAAACCTCTGACCATCGACAGTCACTAACCCCACATGGCGAAAATGCAGCTTTTCCTGGTACCTTGTCTCGCCGTATTTTCGCTCAAAATTCGGGAACTCCACACAGCTAACCACCCGATATGATGACGGTTTCGTATATACCATCTCTAACTGTGGCTGGTCGATAGCTCATTGTCAGTTCTACAGTACCCCTTCTGCATATTATGTTGTAATTCGGAAGGAAGATTGACCTATATGCCAGAGGGAACACGTGGGCCTATACATACAACCTGGGCCCCAAGTTGATTTAGCAAGTTGATTAGAAATCAACTTGCTTCTTGGTATAGACACTTCGGGAATTATTTCTAGTGGTGCGGCTTTGCTCCTGATCTGCACTAGTCTCATAGTGCCGACGCTAAATAAGTACACAAATTTGCTCCATAACTGCTACCACTGTAGCCATAGCCTGGTGTAGTCATGAGGGTTCACTGCTGTGTGGTGGCCACACGCTTCCGCACAGTCATCTCGCAAGTGAAGCGTCTCAGCAAAGAGTCACGAATAGTTTATCGGCAATGATAGCGGCAGAGAATCGCGTCGCCTTAGCATTACACCATACAACCGTATTGTGTAGATGGACAGAAGAAAATGTCGGTAAAAGTGGGGGAGAATATCACTAGCGTTGTTTGTTTCATTCAACACCCATTGCTTCCTGATTCCCAAGGTACTAAGTGCTAAATCATCACTGGGGGCCCTAATATTTTGCTCTCAGATTTATATAGGACAATACATCTCAAGTACCTTGCAATGTCCCCATTGGCCTATCGTAGTACTAGTGCATACTTCTTTCCTCGAAACGGACGGAAATTTTTGAATGATCGGTCCTGTCATTCTACGTACTATGGAAACTTCGGTGCAGGTTTGAAGATGGATAGTTCGCTAATGCGTCGATTACCCTTAGTCCCCAAGACATAAAACAGATGCCCGGCCTTGGCCCGCCACGATATGCCGCACATTCACAGATGGGAAGGCGAGACCGACTTCAGCAAGTTCAGCCTGGCCGAAACACTCGACTCTGCCGCAAGCCCTATCACACCTGTCGACAATATTAAACGCGAGAGCCTTTTCATGGGGGCCACCACTTACCACAAGAAGGACGAGGTCCTGCGTTGCCAGTTCTTTTAGACTCCGCATTATGGCCTTTGCCCAAATCATCCGTACCAGCATGAATGACTAATGTACGCTTATCGGCTGCGTTAGTGTCACTTTTTTAATTCAGCTAACGATATACCTTACACCAAGCACACTTTCCAAACCAATCAACTTGACGAAGTGGTCCTGCATTGTGCCGTTAGAGTTGCCAGCTCTATCAGTCTTAAAGTTTCCTAAGTCACCGACGTGGCGTTCAGAGTCACCGGGGCCACCATGGGCTCTACCGAAGGGATTGACTGTTCTCGCATTAGGAATAGAGCCAACTGAAGGACAAAGTGCAACGAACAGTGCGGGCCGGCAGATGTACATCCATTGGTGTTGTCGCCAAATTGATGAATGTGGAACCCACGCTGCGTATTGGGATCATTTCCAGTAAGGTCCCAGGAAATGGTTGTAGAGGATTTCTCATCGATTTGCTCAAAGCTCACTACCCCGGTAATTTTCGAGTCGCCCCGAACAAGAGCAACTGCACAAAATTAGTCTGTGATTCTAAAGCTTGAACTCTTCTCCACTCATCCAGTGCTGATGTGAAGTCTAGGAAGGCCCGAGAAAATCAGATTGTATATTAGCAACAGCTGAGGAGAGCTGATGACATCGCGGGAGAAGAGAAAGCAACGAGAAGAGAGATCTTACCGCCTCGCACCATTTTTTGTCCTAAGGCGATTGAAGAATGAATTTGTTTCTCATGGGAGGAGAGGGAATGACGAGAGGGGAGAGGTCTCGTTAAATGTATTGGATACGTGGACTCAAGTTCGAGGGGACAAGAAAAAAAAGACGGGTCACTGGGGTAGACATTGATTTACGTGTGCGCGGCACAGCGGATACAGTACTGTAAACCAGTCTTATCTATCAAAGTTTCATCAAATATCAAAATTTGGCGCATGAATGCGGGGTCCATTTTTTCCAAACTACACTTTTGGAAAAATAGATAGCCACCAAGGTCGTTCCAGCTGGCGCCTGCTGCAGGGCGGTCTAGAGCTTCCCGCTTGGAAACGAACGAACATCATTATCTAGGCTCAATCTTGCGACAGTGCCAAATCTCGCCAATTCATTTAGTATTCCCCGACATGGTAGTACTACACAATTGGTCCGGCAAGTTCCGCGACGCCACAGAGCGGCTCACTTGGCACCAAGTTCCTGGGGTAGTTTTCGTATGACCCTTCCCAACACCCGAGTATTTCATTTATTTTAAGGAATGGCGGCCAAGATCCATCGTCCCCTCCGCATTTTGTCGTCCCTGTTGAAAAGCGAGGCTTTGCTTCTAAACCGATCGAATTTTCCTCCGGGGTGTTTGTCGGGATATGTTGCTATGCTGGTAAGAATTCCTGTCATTTAAACATGCCCAGCACCAGGAGAATCTTCGAGTTCGCAGAATAGATTGTTTCGATATCTAGAAGTTCTTTTCTCTCGAAAAACTCCCTACAATCAACATATGGGGATGCTGACCGGCAAGAACGCCAGGCTCAGCTCTCTAGCAACGATTGCCTTAAAGGAAAACCTGAGGTGAATAAGGCAGCACGTAGCCTACAAAGGGGAGGGGTAATTTCTGACGAACATGGACATGTATGGCATACGGGATACATCAGCCAATAAGTTCAATACTATCCGAATAACGCTATCTTTATCGACTTTAACACGGAAGATCAAGTCTTGTTGCTTGGAGTTAGGGGCAATCAAAAGTGAAAGTGTTAAAGCGCGCTCCCGGAAGCTCTGACAAATTCTTTACCCCGACTTTTATCTCTGCTGCATTATCTTTGCGGCTCCAGGACTGCGGTTTTTCGCCACTGAAACCATATACCAATCAAGCTGCTTATTGTACCTGTCATACCAACAACTCCGTCGTTGATGTTGGCGAATTCGAGCTTGGCAATGGGTATGGTTAAATCGCATAGGGTCGCCATTAGTTGAGCACATGTGTTAAAGCGTTCCCTTGAAAATGAAATGATTAGCTTGATGGGTATAGATTATATTATATCGACGAGGAACGTACCTGTGAATCTTCCTCACCTCGATGGCTCCCTTGCCCTCTTTACGGTTGGCAGTCTTCCCCTTCTGCTGCAGTTTCCACAGCGAGTAGATACTAGCCAGGGCATTGCAGGTTAGCCCAGCCATCCATGCACGGTAGGCAAGCTTCTGCATTCTCTTCGCAGCGGCCATCTTTCGCACCCCAATAGCGTCCATGACAGTCATGGTGTCGAGGGCAAGATAGATGCCATAGCCAAGATGACCGATGACAGTAAGGTAGCGAAGCACAGGATCCACAGGACTCTTTTTCCTCAGCACGGTGGAGGCAGCGTTGAACTTCTCAACGAAACTTCCGACTCGCAGGATCTTGCGAGTTATTTCAAACTGCTTTATTATCACTTCGAAGGGACGGATGGCATAGTGCGGTTGATTGGCACGGTCAAGGTACCAACAGTAAAAGCGCGAGAAGTATTGCAGAGTACGTAAGATCTTGTCACGGCCCACTGTGAATTACCATAAACCGTTATTATTTTCCCTTGATTGGATCATACTGTGAGAACATTCCAGGTGGTTCGAACATGGGAGAAGCGACAGTGATGCCCCTCCGACCGGTGCCATAGAACGCAACGTACTAGGCGAATCATTCACATACCTGTGGTTGCAACAAAGCGCAAAAAATGTGCAAAAGAAGAGTGGTCGAGTGGTAAAGTGGAAGCCATTTCCCGTTCTGGGCGGTCCCTTTCTCGACAGCCTTGTTGTCTGAGAGTTCTGGCTTCGCAGGCCAAATCAACTGCTTCTAAAAGGAATTTGTGACCCAAAAAGGTAAGTGAAGCTCTAGATAGCAGGCGGAAAACTCTCAGAAGTTATAGAAAGGTAAAGTACGGTCAGAGATATAGTGGGATCATAACCTGCATCTTATTGTCAAGTAAATCGTCGTTGGGATGCCGTACCCTTCCGAGAATGCCGACTGGTCTATTCAGATCAGGTAAAGTTCCGCGGAGAATTCGTGGCACCCTTAAAAGTGAGTCAACCGCTGTGGTCTCTGTCATGGTGTTGCCTGGAAAGAAAAGGAATCTCCGCACTTCACCCAACTCCGCATGAGGGGAAAGATTAGCACTCACTATTAACTGTTCTAGTAATGCTATATTACCCAATCAAATGTCGAGCAACGGCTGTAGTGACACTTTTAAGATTCGGGGCAACCGAGGATTCGCTAGATACTCGGTCAGGCTTCGGAACCTGTCTTATTATTTCATCTTTTCGTAATGAGAAAGCATAATCTAGAGTATATGGACTATAACTGATTATAACTTGTGGACCTTACCTCCAGTTCATGTCAAATTGGACATTCCGATCCTTGTTTTAGCAGCGAATATTTCACTTTGTACGACAGTCGTGGAAAAGATTTTACATTATGTCCAGCACATATTTGAATTCGTCTCCTTTCGATAAGGGGGCGCTGCGACCGTTGAGAAGTCGACAGCTAGCTACAATGCCTTGTTACGTGGGCGCAAATTACACAAGTGACGGTAGGCCCGCTGAAAGACAAATTCTGATTTTGATTCTCCAGCGCTGACATCTTTTTGGTTGCCAAATCCCAGAAACCTGCAGTCTGTGCTTGGAGGAATTCAGTTCCGTATCGATCTTTCGGCGATTACCATGCGAGCATTATTTCCATCAGCCATGTATTGATAAATGGGTGTGCAAGCGAGATGCGAGCTGTCCACTTTGTCGAAAAACCTTCTATGATTTATGCTCGACAGCTTCCGTCCCCACGCCCACGACCGCTCCCAGTTCGGATGACGACAATGCTACGCACATGTCACGGCCTGCCTTCGTTCACTTCGTTCACCGGTGGAAAGGAGTTTTTCATTTATCTAGTGTTTCATTTCGACGATATGCTTAATCAGGAACACTTGCTGTCTGCTTTAGGACATTGTAACACCCTAACAGGTGATAGTATCCATCCAATGATCTTTGCCTTTTGTGGTGTGGGCTTATTTCGAGTTCGTCAGCCGGGTTTCGGCCGAGAAATATCCGCTTTCCATCTTAACGTTGCTCGGTTTGATTTCGGGGTTTGGCTCCGCCATTTCTAGAGGAAGAAAATGTATTGGGCTCATTTAAATTGATCTTCATGAATGGGGTCCTTAGCACAAATCATGTCAACTGCATCAGCAAAGGTCATCACTCAAACTTGACTTCGGCACAACCCATTCTAGCCCGGACCCAACCCAACGATGGGTTTTGGGTTATAACTAATAACCCAGAACCCATTGGGTAACCCATTGGGGCCCTAATATAGTGCAAACAAAACAAACCAAAAAATTATATGGTTGAAATTCAAAGATTTGAATATATATATATAGTATAGTAACTCAATTTCAAAACAAAAACAAATTTATATAAAAGCATTTTATACTATTAAAAAAGTATATTTAAAAATGCCAAGACTTGGATTTTATGAATTCTATGGATTTTTATGCAAAAATAGATTCAAATGGGTTATTATTGGGTTATTGGGTTGGGTTTTGGGTCGGAGTGTCCGACCCAAAATGGGTTCTGCCTAGACTGCGACATCGCCCATGGACGGGCGGGTGGGCAGTGCCCACGGGCCTTATGTAAGCGGGCGATGGGCACTATCAATACGCCCATGGACGGGCCCTACTCTTAGGGCCCATTGTCCATGGACACCGTGGGCGCCCGTGGGCCTTTTTAGTAAGCAAAATTAGCGCAACACGTGATTTTAATTGACAGATTTCAAAATATTTCAACTAAATTTATATTTTTTATATATTTACAATCATAATTCCGGATTTTTAATAAGATATATATAAATATATATACTATAATTTACTATATATCTAATTTTTATATATATTTAAGACAACTTTATATAATGGTGGGCATCGTGGGCATGCCCGTGGGCCTTGGGCGTTATGGACGGGCACTCGAAAATCCAAATAGCCCCAGGCCCACCGTGGACGGGCGATGGGCACCTCCTAGGTGCCCATGGACGGGCGATGTCGCAGTCTAGTTCTGCCGAAGTCTAGTTGGAACCTCTTACCCATTCTCGGGTTTTGGCACAGACTAATAACTCTATTATCTAAAATTACTAACTTTTATAATTAATAATAACCGCTCGAGAGCGGCCCTTAGAGGGCGGAGGGCGGTAGATGCCGGCCCTCTAAATGTTTTTAATCAGGTCTAAGTATGGCAGTGTAGCTATGTAATGGTAATGTATCCATTTTTTACACTATGACAAGCTAGATATAATCGGTTTTCGTCAGAACACGTTGCATTAACCTCTCGCAATGGGATAGGATTCATAAGTATAAGTTCTGGAAGAAGTCTTATAGTTAAAATACTAGGATCAAGGACCTCAAGCATATAAATAGAGTCACATTCTCACCGTTCTTGCTTTGGTTTGAGTCTTCTAATCTAATGAAAACTTCCTCTTGGCTAGGTCCTTAGCTTATACCTTGGCTTTCCACTCCCAACTCCAGTTCAAAAGAGCCCATCGAGACAGGATAATACTTATTAGCCCTACGAGCAAAATGGTGGAATAGAAACTAATAAGAACCTGTGGTGTGGCTGACTGTAGCAACTGTCCACCAATTGGGACAGTGAGCAAAACTCCAAATGAAGCCACAGAGTAAACAGTGCCATAAAATCGACCATAATCTTTGGTGTCACAAAGCTGGCCTGCACAAACTGGAGCAAGCGAGAGCCACCCACCAGAACCGAATCCGAAAATCGCCACAACTGCGTAAAGCGTGCCTTCATCGTGAGACCCATATGGTAGCCAAACAGCTGCCATAATTATAATGGTTATAACAACTAGTAATAATAGAATATTGAATCGACCAAATAGGTCCGCAGCAAAGCCAGGAAGAACCCTCCCGATAAGGCTCATACTGTTCAACACAGTAAGGGAATAAAACTGCAAATCCACGGAGAACCCGCTGTAACGCACATATGATGGAAGAAGTGCAGCACATCCAAAAATAATGAACTCGAAGCAAAAGACGGCCACGGTAAGAAAGCACAGACGGGGTGACTTGAAAGCAGCAAGATCGATCGTTGCTTTACTCTTGCTGCCAGTGGGTAGACGGCCTCTAATGAGTAAAACTCCCACCGCGTAGCATCCCAAGGCCATAAAAGCGACGATCCGTATAGCCCATATCCACCCGTATCTATCAAACAAGCTTCGTAGCATCAAGGGGATAATGGCACCACCTGCAGATGATCCTCCCATACAGATTCCAGAGGCAAGGGCGCGTCTTCGGTTAAACCAGTGACTGAGGACCGCAATAGAGACGGTTGTAACAATTGCCGCTGACATTCCACCAAGAACACCAAGGCAAAGCATAAAGTGCCAGTATTTGGTACATTCTGCGAGGAGTATGTACGAAGCGAAATTCCCAAGTGATCCACTGATCAACAGGACCTTGGGTCCATATTGATCAAAGAGCGGTCCAACTTGGACACCAAGAAACAACGTCAAAAATACTAGTACTGCAGTGATCCAGCCGACATCTCGGTCCCCATATTCGGACAACTGGTGAGTGCTGATATAATCCTGGACCGATCCAACTATGAATAGCATCAGTCGTTTAGGCCCCGGCGAGAATGTTGGAAAGGGGTATAATCCATCCTTACCTGCAGTCTGGAACCCAAATGAGGGGAACATCATGAGACATGATCCTAGCAAACAGACCCATGCCTCTCGGCCGCCCTCGGGAAAGGCCAAGCTGACGTCGCCATCGGGGTTATCAAGAACAACCTCAAGCTCATGGTCATCACTCGAGCTGCGGCTTGTCGGTTGGATCAATCGGCGCATTTTGAGATTACTTAGACTTGTGAAGTGGATGAATGAGAAAAATCTTGGGAAGTGAAAGTCGCTGTCCCGTCACGTGGTTCTACACATCACCACGCGGCTTGGGTGGGCCCTCTATAGTTCTTATCTTACTTCCAATTGGTTAATGCGTGAGAACTGCGACACAACCAATCACAAGCCAGAACCGGTTTATATTCGAATATTTGCATTCTACACGTCGCAAACCCCGGACTCGTGTACGGCTAACGAGTTTGACCTTGTTCATTTGCTGGAGCTGTTGAGCGCTCGTCCTGGTGAAATGTTTGTTGTGATGAGCCGTGAGCGTTGCCGTGAGTGTTGATATTAGTGTTGATGTGTGTTGCGGTGAAACATCACTGTTGAGGTGAATGGTCGCGCGGTGAAATGAGCGGTGGTCAACGTCTCACGGAGGCAGCGAGATTTCCTTGCCATGTCACCCACATTAGAGCTACATCACTTTGCATTATTTCGATTCCGCAAGGTTTTTTTTTTTTGACCCCTTCGCATCACTCGGTGAAGTTGACGTACAGCCTCCAACTCGATTGGGATGATTGAATTCAACCATGGTTCAACTACAGTAGCTGTCATGTTCGGCTTCTACATAAGTTGCGCTCCTAAGCTCCTTCTCCGCGCCACTTTCGGAAACTAGTCTACTGTTAGTTTAGCTCGTTATTTCAGTATTGTACCTGGCGTATGTGACAGGGTTATACTGTAAAACCGTACAGACTCTTCTCTATAAATATCCCTCGTTCGATAAATTCTCTGCAGACAAAGCAAACTGTGGCGGACGTGTGCCTAGGGTTTATGGTACTAAAAATTTTCGAGTGGCCCTTCCAACTTTTGGGCCACTTGACCACCACTCTTTATGCTGTGGCCGAGATAGCGTCTGACCTGATTAAAAAGCGATATATAGTTCCAAGGTTTAGATGAACTTTCCGATGCTTGTTTGTGTTTATGACTCTACGGGTACCGTAGCTGGGTTCGCATAGTAGTACATACTCCCAATCCCTATCCTGCCGTCGAGATGGCTCGGTTTATCACGGCCGCCAATAGCTCCTTGAGTGCCACCGGAGGTAATGGGGATGAAGACGGCTTATCCAGGATAGCCCAATGACACGTAAAAGTACAGTCACTGCTGAAATAACTCTAAAAGAGGCTAAAGAATCTCCAACCACCAAATTCTGGCCCATCAGACCTCATTTGCCGCTCGGCACAAGACTCCAGCTCGACTCACGAAACCCACATAGTGCAGCCTTAGGGTTTTAGTGGTTCCTCTGGGAGATCACAACTGCTGCAATAGCTGCAAAATCAGAACTCACGTAAGGGACAGTGGGTATGCAATCGTTAGCGAACTTTGATCTTGAACTAAGGCAATGCGTGACTTAAGGTGGACATCGTCCTTGTTGAAGAAAGTCTCGACAGACATGATGAATATGTTGGTGGAAAGGTTCTCAAAAAGTAGAAGAGATGGTGTTTATGTGTTGATTGATATGTCTACCTCGCTAGAATCAACGCTCTTTAAATATATAGCCCTGAGTGTAGTGTGGAGTTCTATCTGAATCTCCCCTAATTGGTTCTATCGAGCTTTCGTGTGAGCCGCCAGCAACCATATGCCCGATTATCATACTATGGTCCATCGTCAGCGGAGTGACGGGGTAATTACCGTGGGTCGATCTTAGTATGACCGTATCGCACGTCCCGACGCTTAGCGTAGCTAGAGAATGACGTTGTAGGCGCCAGAGGTTTCGAATATGAAATCTCCACCTTTTGATCCCGTGGCACAGTTATTCGTTTTTGCCCCGTATTTCATCCCCGGACGTGACTCTACTGTGAATGAGGACTGCGATTGGTCAATGCGCAATGCATAATATACAGCCTATCATGACCTCCCAGAATGGGGATGCCCTCCATTTGCTCCCCCCTCCATCCTCGTATCGCTGATCTGCGAACGTGGATCACTTTCTGCTGTAATGCGATCCCATCATCGCCGAACAAGTCTCAAGGCAATTAAGAATACATTCGCCGAAGTGCGGCATTCATCTCGCCTCCGATCATACCCACACCTCGCAATGTCGTTCTATTGATTAGATTTGCAAGCATGACGAACAATCCAATGGATCAAGTTCCTAGCATCAAGTTCATAGCACAATATGGTAAATTTACCGTTCCAATCTTGATTCTATCTTGATACTATCTTCATATTCCGGTTTTGCCCATGTCCAATCCTGATTTCCGCACCATGCATCCATCCCCCGCCTATTATCCACAATCTGCCACACAAACACTGCCACAATGTTGGTCTGCACTGGTGGCAGACAGACTTCAAGATGTCAACGGCACAAAAGTGGTGCATACCGGGGAATCTGGTGCGAACGGCCATCGAATGAATCGCATCATGATTTGGGATTCTTCCTCCTGTAGGTCCGCGGAAACCTTCCGTATCCGTTGGTTCTCAGTTACATTGATGTTATTTACAATTATCTCGAAATTTTGCTCTTCGATTTCGATCATTCGCTGCGCACAGAGTCCCGAATATCGGTCCTGCCAAGCACCGTGGTAGAATGGAGACTGGAGCATCAAGGAAACAGCCTTCCTGCGGATAAGGGGATGGCGGCAGCGAGAGGCCGCGAGGAACATTGGGGGTGTGATTCCAAGATCGAAGCTAAAAAGTAGGCTAAATGTCTGCGATTCTCTCTTCCACATCTCGGTCACGCTCTCGGCGAGGTCGATAATGGTTTGGAAACGGTCGGTATAATAATCAAAAACACTCTCCAATTCTGAGTGGTAGGTTTCGGCAATAATCGAACAGGTATAAAAGTATAGATCTAGCAATTTTCGTGTGCATTCTCGTAAGAACGGGGACTCGCCCGAGAAGTCGGAGGCGTCTAAAGCTGCCTTCCATTGACGTAAACCGGTGATAGGAGGCTGCGATGGTAACTGGCCATCTGAGGTCTGTGGCACCCGCTCGAGGTAGGAAAAGACGTAATTCATCTCTCGATCAAAATCGTGCCGCGCAGAATCGAGTGAAGGATATAATGAAGGGATTATAGGAGATGGTAGACATAGCGGAACACCAAGGTTAATTAATTTGTGGCGAGAATCCATACATATAGAGAATTGCACCCGTAAGCGTTGGAATATCGGCGTTATTTGGTTGTTGATGAAATTTAAGGTGGGGTGAGAATACTCCTGCAGTTTGTTGTAGGCGTTGGTGCGATGCCTCCACCAATATAGCAGCCTCAGACCGGCTGTGAGATGGAGTAAACATGCAGCATCGCCGCTTCGAAATTGTTCGAAGCAGATGAAAAGGAGACAGAGGGTCATGGTGATATCGGGTCGTGATGACATGTTGGGAGACTCGGTCTGAACAGATTTGATCGCGGCTGTATAATGTTTCAGAGCCAGCATCTGGGCCATGATCTGGGCCTGTTTTTCCGATCGGCGAATTGAAGCACAAACATCGACTGGTTCTTGACTTTCATGGAAGGAAGCTAACGCCGTCAGGGCATGCTTGACCGGTGCTTCACTATGGCCGAGCTGAAGAAGGATGGAAATCCAATCGCTGGCATCCCGATGGCCAAAAATCCGATGGGAAGTGCGGCTGCGAAAATACAAAAAGGCTCGGCGCTCTTCGTCGCTAAGGCAATCGGGGGACAGGTTGCGGCTTACGGGGGCTGGGTAGCCCTCGCAGATCCTTTGTGTGGCTATGCAGCGCAGACAGGACGGCTTCTGTTCATCACATTTGACGTGCCTAGGAATAAATTGTTAGTGTGCGGACCTCCCGCCGCTCAATTCGATGAATACACGCACCGGGATCTAAAGACTGTCAGTGATAGGCCAAACGGGTTAATTCAGAATAGCGTACTTGCAGGTGAAGCAGCCGCTCCGGGTCTTACGACCAGACCTCACGACGGCTGAGCCAGCGGCGGGCATTTCGACTTGCATGCTCGGAGTCCAGATGGGTTCGTGCAGGCAGAGGAAAGTCGAGAGCGATCAGCGCAGCGAACGACGTTCACCGTAGTGAAACGCCTGCAGCAGTGCTGACTAAGGAGCGATAAAACCGACGATTTCTTCCCAAGGTTGACTCCAAAATGGTTCAAGTGACAATAATTTGTTTTTCCGTTTATCTTCGATAGTACGAGCATTCTACCTCGAGACGGGAAATACGACCCAGCTCCAAACCCTGCATTCTTAGCTCTGGGGTTGACATCAAATGTAGTTCACAAGGCGCGAACTTAATTTCTCCGTTGATAAAGATCGCTATGAATCCCACGCTTCTCATTGGCCCGGAATGTGCCGTCGCGAAGCGACGAATCAACCCCGTTGGAAGCAACTCTTGGCGACATCATATCGATTGCCAACAATGCCCGCATACATAAGCCCCCCCCTGCATAGCTCTACCTCCGGTACGTCTGTTTACTTCAAACATCCAGAGCCGCTCTCATCATATCGGCATTCTCCTCTAGTCCTTCTGAAATTCTCATTATCGGTGGCGGTGTATTGGGGCTCAGCACGGCTTGTGCCCTGGGTGGAGGGTAAGCCATGCAACTTGGTTGTCTGAAGAAAGGCTTATGCTCCATTGTTTTTTGTCAGTTAAGAATTGACCTTCTCTCTATTAATTTCGTATATGAACTGGGTTGTTCGTCCGACCACATACTAACTATCTGAGGTGTTGGTGCCTGAGGCACAACAACAACTTTAGACCTTTGTCCTTGTTTCCTAGAGATCATTACTTGGAATGATTCAAGTATACTCGCCACTCATATTACTCTTAAATGGCATAGTAATTGATTGAATACGAAGATTGGTCCTTGTAACTGAAAATGTGATGCATCGATTCGAGAGCCCACTAGGGGTCCACGGAGTCTATGTAGCTCAATAGAGATCTGCGGGTTTCACTATTGGAAACAGTGAGGGAAACCTTAGTCTACAGTCGTTACAATTCCCATCTGGAATATCCAGAAAACATCATAGAAGACTATACAATTGCCACGGGAGGAAAGACCGAATACCTAAGTAGGAAATTCTAGTGGGAAACCATAGAATCCACTAGGACTTGCACGCCCCACCGACCTGGGGCTCGCTCTCAGGGACCTCATCATATTTCGCACTGTGGTGTCCTGAACTGTGGTGTTCCGTGCCATGGTGTCCCCAGCCGTGGCCATGTTTCCGCCCATGACCCCTGGCGATTCCGGTAGGAGTGCCACTCGGGATCGCACTGGCAACACTGCTTGGGATTTCGCTCCCGACATCAGTGGGGACTTCGCTCACCGCGGGAACCCCACTGGGGGTGTCGGGAGTATAAACAGTAGTGGCAGCTGGAAGTTCACTCTCCAGTCCACTTGCGGTCACATCCACAATGTCACTGGCCGTGGAGCTAGTAACAGCCGTTGCGATTCCGATCACAGAACTGCTCGATGTGTTCTCATATCCGCCTCGGATGGCGGCGACACTGCCATTTGTAGCCTGGGCTGCAGGTTCGGTGGTGGTTGCGCTGGAAGCAGCTTCGGTGGTCTGGCTTATGGCTTCGATTGTAGTTGCACTTGAAGTGGCTCCGGTAGTCTGGCTTGGAGCTTTGACGGTGGTCTCACTTGAAGCGGCCTTGGTGACTGCACTCGCACTCTCGCTGACGGCGATCTTTGCGGTCGCGCTGGTGGTGACACTAGCAGCTGTAGTTGTCGAGGAATCTGTTGTACCATCAAGGCCTAGGCAAGCAATGCTCATCTTTTTGCTAGTCGCAGAGGACGAGGAGTCATCAATGGACTGCGAGAGGTCCCAAGTCATGTTGACATAGGGCCAGCAGATCCTACCATCTGACATAGTCACCATGTCACCAGCAACGTAAACATCGTCAGCGCTGAAAGCTTCACCAACCTTGGAGCCGGTGGAGTCAACTTGCTGGAAGTAAGTTCCAGCAAAGGTACCACGGCATCCCATGGCAATGAAGTCACAAGTCGGATTCGAGATCTCCTCCCAGGTGACGAGGGCATTGCTACTTCCAAAAGCGGCAGCGTGAGCATTTGAGCAATCGTTCGATCCAGAGGTAACCCAGTTGACCTGGCTATCTCCATCCTCGCTGCCGACCTCAGACGTGGCCTGGGCGCCAACCTTGGTATACTTATCAGAGAAAAGTGAAATAGCAACATTGCGACCGTTCGTGCGGTTCTGCACGTTCGTGTAGCCACTTCCCATCCAGGCGTTCTCTGTCACATCAATCGCGCCGCGGGAAACCCATGCGAAGATATACTTGGTAGTATCGGCAAACCGAGCCAACGCACTATAGCTACCAGACATACCACCCATAGGCTCACCAGACGCACCGTTTGTAGTGTTCTCGTTGGAAATTTTGACTCCGTCAGTCGACATCCCTTGCGTCTTGGTGTTCAACCAGATCGCACCCTGATCTTCGGCGCAAATACCGGCGAAGGGGGCGTCGTCGGCTGCTTCGAATGCAATGCCGGTGTTGTGACTGCAACCCCACGCACTACTAGCACCAGAGATTGTTTCCAATTTTCCGCTGGTCGAGACATACTCCACGCTGTCACCGAAATGGCCCGATGCGTCACCGGAGTAATCAGTGACGACAAAGTATGCGCCGTAGAGCTCTGCACTCTCGGAATAGACAAGGTCGCCGTTCATGTCGGGAGAGGCAGAAAGCCCTTCGGCCTCGTGTACGCCGGGTCCACCCAGCCAGGTCTTCCATGTCTGTTTTCCTGAGGTGTAACGGTAGAGTACGGGAACAGGGGTATCGCTTGGTGGTGCATTGGTCGTGCCAGAGGGCATGGCCTCGTTGGTCAGAAGGGCAAATCCATCGTTGTGAGCCACAAGACCTCCGGCTATACCATGCATTAGTGGTTCCCCTTTTTCATTAGCTATAGGTGAGCTGGCAACACACCTTCCTTCCCACCAGAGACGGTCACGGTTGTACCCGTAGCAGCAAAGGTGGTGGGATCCAGCTGCTGCACATGGACATCTGTGGCACTGGAGTCAAGATAGGCAATGTACGCTGATTTCCCATCGGGCGACACCGCAAAGGGGGTACGACGGTGATGAGGATATCCAGTCCAATATGCCGCCTTGACGGGGTTAAAGGCGTAGTCGAGTGCCAGCACATCGACATGAGTCTTGAGGTTAGACTGAGAAATAGCAGCGCTGGCGCCCAGCGCCGCAGAAAGCAAAGAATGAATGAAAGTCCCACGCATGTTGGGGTGGTCGGTGTTGCTGTCTGTCTGCCATGTTTTATGACGGATCGGCGCTCTTTAATACCTCATTTCTTCGGGGAACTTCTTTGAGGCCAATTCAAAGTGAGAAATCAGGAGTGTCGTCCTTATGCCAAGTGGGTGGTGAAAGTGGATAGTTGAGCACACCCCTGTCTGGTTTATAGTAGTTCCAAACGGAATGAGGTCTTCATCCGGGACACAATGTTTCAGCCTCGTTATTCCTAACCTCCTGTAACGCCACGTCTTTAATTTCTCATCAAGCTGGACCCTCCCACCAGGGTATACGGAGTAAATTATAATGGTAGAGAAAATTATCCACGAGTCAAGTTGATATTTCGGTAAAACTGGGACCCTCAACGGGGTTCAATCAGTCCCAAGGGGTATACAAAGTACTCATAGTTGTCGATACTACTCCGTACAGAGTACTCCGTATCTGTATACATACCACACTCTCTTGGTGCACAATTGGGGTCTCAGTGCACGGCCTCTGCCATTAGGTATGCTGCACACATGGATCACCTAAACATCTCCCTAGGGGGTGTTTCTCAACCATGATCCAACCTTGGAGCCCCTAGTCCCTGGTGGACCTTCGGACCTCTCGGGAGGATTATTCCGGCTGACTCAACCATCTTGAGTCCCGACTGGAGCCCATCCATTGGTCCATTGATCGGCCCCACCTACCCTTGTGAGCAGTCCTGGAGGTCAGGTGCCCAGGTGTTTCAGCCTTGGAAGGCGGACCCTGGATTAGTCATCAATGTCAAGATCCATCCATCCACCTGGACAGCAAAAAGATGGATGGCTTTACCTTTATGAATCCAAATGTCGTGAATATTATCCATTTATCCATATTTTTAGGTAGTGTAAATAATATATGATATAGCATATTACGTTATTGGACTTCCAATTATAAGTGCTTACTACCCCTCTTTTTAAAAACTTGCCCTCAACTTGTTTTAATATTTCACCCATCAACCTTCCTTAATTTATCATACCTTTACAAGCGCTTTCTGAAAGTATTCATGCTCTATTTTTAGTTCATAGAATACCAACCACATTAATTGGATTTTCCTTTGCAGAAATCACATTGTACTGTATATATATACAATCACAGTCGGCCACTGATGCGGCCTTGTCATGTCTTTTTGGTGGTCTTTTTAGATGTTATTTTTATATATCCTTTTTAGGTGCATACGAAGGCGGTAGGGGAAAAAAAAAAGCATATTCTCTGCAAGAGACTTTTCTATGTATATGTAGGTAACCTTTGTAATATACACACAAACCCCAAACCTATTCCAACCTCTCCAAGCTCTGCAATTTCACCAACTCAAAATACCTCCCTCCAAGCTGCATCAACTCTTTGTGCGTCCCCTGCTCCACAACATTGCCTTCATGCAGCACTAGAATAGGTTAGTCTCTACCACTATGAAATGGAATATCGTTTTCTTACCATAAATACAATCGGCCTTCTGCACCGTGCTTATCCGATGCGCAACAGCGACCGTCGTTCGGCCTTGAGCCGCCGCATTCAAAGCATCCTGGACAACCTTTTCAGACTCAGAGTCGAGTGCAGAAGTGGCCTCATCTAGGAGGAGGATACGTGGATCGCGAAGAAGCGCGCGCGCGATGGCTATTCGTTGTTGCTGCCCGCCAGAGAGCATGCCGCCCCTCGCTCCTATAAGCGTCGAGAAACCATCACTGAGCTGAGTGTCAGTAGATATTCATCTCAAAACAATTAGAAAATATAGAACAACATAGGCGAGAGGAGCGTGCAAGGGACAAGGGAAAAGGGGGTGGCGTACGGCAGAGATTGAATGAAATCGTAGATATTGGCATCCTTGCATGCTTTGGTGATTCTCTCCTCGGAAACATCCTCGTCGTCAGTACCCAGGGTAATATTCTCCCTTATGGTTCCTTGATACAGGGTCGGTTCTTGGCTAACGAGCGCGAGGTGACTCCGGTAGCTTTTGACATTCAACTTCGAAATATCTTTCCCATCGACCAAGATCTGCCCCTTTTCAGGATCAAAGAACCGCTCCAGCAAGGCAATGAGAGTGCTCTTCCCACACCCGCTCGCCCCCACAAGACCTATGTATTGTCCTGGTTGAATACTCAAGCTGAGGCCGTTAACAACCACCCTCTCCAGTCTGTTGGGGTATCGGAAATAGATATTTCGCATTTCCAAGCTGCCATCAACTTTGGTTAATAGTTCGCCAGTTTCTTGACGGGCATCAATGTTGACAGGTCTGTCCAACAACCTTTTGATATCCTGGGCTGCCTGGCGAGATTTGCTCATATCTGGCGCGAAGGAGAAAATGGCGCCGGCGCTGAATGCGCCTACGACAATAGCTGCATAAGCGATGAAAAACTGCACCATTGAATAGCCTTCGTGGATGATGAGACTTCCCCCATACCAAAAGGCTAGCGCAATGCAGAGAAAGTTGGCTGACTGTGAGGCTGCATAAAATGTTGACGATTTCAGCGTTGAAACAATCGACTTTTGTCGTTGTGCTTCCAATATGTTATGATACTCTTCCAGTACATGGCTTTCGAGATTCAATGATGCAACCGTCTTGATGGCAGAACTTGCCTCACATGCATAAGTTGCTGAAGCTGCATATACACCCTTCGACTGTCGAGCTATCTCACCAAGGATCTTGAGTCGGACGAGACCACAAGTAAGAACAATTGGAATGGTTGCGGTACAAACGAGACCCAGCTTCCAACCTATCGCAATTGATACAGCAATGCCGGCAATCAAAGTCGTTGAGACAATGAAGATAGACCCTAGTGTCACACCACTCATGCCCGCAAGATTGGTTGCATCCATGGATAACGAGGATGTAAGCGAACCGGCCGAGAAACCAGCTTTGTCGAACATGGAAATATCTTGATGGAGAATTGCTCGGAAAGAACGATCTCTGGCACGGTGAATCAGGCGCTCGGAGCAGTAGGCGAAACAGAGACCCGATGCTCCCCAGCCCAGGAATGCAGTACCTCCCAGCATCAGATACATCGCACTCCAGAAGTTGACATCATGGCGTAACCTCCCATACATGTTAGGGGGTAACGACATCGCTGCAATTGTCTTACCGTAGAACACAGCCTGTCTACGGTAATGGTCAACATCAATATTCTGCGCAGCGTGTGGGGGTGGGGTTTTACGTGGGATTTCCGGCGCCTGTGATGATTGAGAAAAGCAGACCACAAACCATGGTAACCGTCTCTTCCTTGTTGAAGTTGGCGACAAACTTAATCAACGTCCATAAGGGATATTCACAGCCACCAGACTCCCCCTCTAAGCCTCTCTCGGGGTCTTTGGTTCCCCGATGCCGCTCTATATCATACATGTACTTATTAGACTCATTGACCTCATCTTCCAAGTCAGGAAGCTTGGAACCTAGGTCGAGAGGTGAATTTGCTTCGCGGGTGACGATACTCCTTTCAGTCGACATGCGCTGCTTCTCCACTAACTCGTAATACATCGATCGTTTCTCAAGCAGCTCGTTGTGGGTTCCTTGCTCAACAACACGTCCGTGAGAAATGACAACAATGTTGTCCGCGGCTGTGATGGTGGATAGTCTGAGTCATAATTAGTTTGGTGACTCTTAAAGAGTAATTGAAAACATACCGGTGGCTGATTGTGATCGTTGTCCGACCTTTAGCGGCAACATCAAGCGCCGCCTGTACCAGCCGTTCGGCCTGGGCATCTAGAGCTGAAGTAGCCTCATCCAGCAGCAAGACCTTGGGATTGCCAATAATAGCCCTTGCAATGGCAACTCGCTGTTTTTGTCCACCCGAGAGTAATGAGCCCATTTGACCAACACTGGTATGGAATCCTTCCGGTAAGGTGGAAATGAATTCAAAACAGTTCGCTTTCTTTGCAGCGTCAAACACAAGTTTTTCCAACACACTATGGGGGAAATTTTCGTATTCGGTGCCGATCAGACCAAATCTGATGTTTTCGAATACAGTTGTAGCGAAGAGTGTGGGCTCTTGTGTGACAATCGCTATTTGTTGGCGTAACCATTGCAAGTTTAAGGACGTGATGTCGTGGTCATCGAGCACTATCATGTTAGCACAGTCTATCTTTCAGGTGAAGAGGACTCACATATTTGGCCACTTATTGGCTCGTAAAACCTTTCAATCAGACCTGCCAATGTACTTTTCCCACACCCAGAAGCACCCACGATGGCAGTGGTCTTTCCAGCTGCAAATATAAGATTTATCCCATCTAAAGTCAGTATGTCTGGTCTAGAGGGATAAACGTGCCGAATTTCTTTGAGTTCTATTGTCCCTGACACAGCTTGTAGCTTGTTTCCAGTGGAGGAGGATGGATCCAGTGGTGACTCCCTGGACACAGTTGAAAGAATCTTTCCGGTTGCTGCCACGCCCGTTGCAAACGCTTGGAAATTGGGTGATATATTACCAAACGTGAACGCTCCGGTCAGCGTAGCAAGAAGAATAGTTATAAGAGCCCCTAATTCAATATCCCCAACGACAAGGTAGCGAGACCCTTGCCAAAATGTCAGTCCGTAGGTTAGGAATATGACACCATTCATTATGGCCATCATGATCGCAAGGGCAATGCGACTTCTCAGACCATAAGCCTCTGCCTTGGTCAGAAACTTCTGATACCGATCGGCCAGCTTGTCCTGGATCCCAAATGCAGTGACGTGCTTGATTGAGCTGATGGCCTCTTCGGCAGCTGTCGATCCGTCTCCATATGCTGATAAAGACATGTGAGTATACTTGACCATGAACGAAGAGCATACACTCATAGATCCAGTTTCTGCCACGATTGCGGATATCAGAATAAGAGCCATGCGCCAGCTTTTCACAAAGCTGATGATGAAAGCCGTCCCAAAATTGGAACAGGAGTACAAAGTCAGAGAAAGCTTGCCCGTCAAAGAATCCTGGATCAGATTCATATCAGCAGTAATTCTGGTTGTGATTTCTCCAGCCCCCAGGACATCAAAAAATGCCATGTTTTGGCGGAGGATAGCGGCAAGATATTTCTCGCGAAGTCGCTGAGTTATACTTTCCCCTCCTATCATGAATCCAGCGGTCGAGATGTATACCGAAACAAACTGTCCAATGGCGATGTATACATAATACAAGGCGAATCTTGCAACAAGAGATGAAAGGTGAGAGCCGGAAGAAGTTCCCAGAAAGAACTCCTTGAATGCTTGGGCCAACCCCCTAGAAAGAGCTGCATGGTATAGATTAGCTTGGGAGATTGAATGTCTATGAAGAGCAGCTTACAAAAGATATGGGCTGAAGAGCCCCTCCAACAATCGCTGCAATTGAGCTGATTATGAGAGCGAATAATTCATAGGTTGTTGCACATGTGTACAAAAGCTTTAAGCGGCTGCTGTTCGATTCCGAAGTGTGTATTTGGCGCTCGAGAATCTCTTTCTCGCGTTCTTTTAGCTGTAGACTAGGCGCCACAGGGGAAGGAGAGCCCGCGCCTGCGCCTTGGTCGGACATTTTGATAGTCTGGCGCTCGAACAAGTACGCGGGTATTCGACAGTGAACACAATTGCTGCTCTGGAAGATTGCAACAACAGCATAGTAAACCAGGTGAGGTATAAGTATTGTTGTGTTCATTCTCTTGCCATAGTTGTCTGTCCAATCACAGGCAACACTAGCTACTCATCATGACTCATATTACACCATTCCCATCTGGGTATGGATAGTACATTTTGTCCTATCATACCTCTCAAGAAATTACAAGGTTGTGTAATGTGCCTCGATGGGATGCAAGAATGCCAGCGAGAGTTGCGACAACCAAGGGAAAAGTTTGTCAATCCGTAGGGATTAAGATTAAATCCCAAATCCGCAGCCAAACTGGAGTCCTTATTAAGATTATGGTGAGGTTCCTCTAAATTATCACGACATTGCAAGGGTTCACCAAGAGATATTCTCCCCGGGTTGTCAATCCTTTTAGTCAGCTGGCTGGTTGCCTGGATTCCCAGGCCAGTAGGATGAGTCAGCCGGTGTGGGCAACCTCGGAGGATCCCGAAGCATCTTGTTAGGGGCTGTGCATTGATCAAACGAGGTCTTTCCTGAGACTGGGTTAATCCTATTGGTCCAATAATATATGTCAACCTGACATCCTGCGATCGACACATAAGGTTTACGGTTATACAGATGCCAAGGCATTATAAGCCACGCAAATGGGAAAGGATGTATTCCGTACTCCGTGCGGAGTACAGCTTACCTAGATACATGATCCACCGACTATTGGATGGTTGACGGTGAACTGCGCAACAAAGGCACCTGGGAAGTCATGTAGCTTACGTGGGCAAGGTCCCCGATGTCTTCCATCTTAGCCTATCCAAATTATTTCATCATAGTCCCTTCGCACCATCCCGCAGCTGACCCCGATTTCACAACTAGGCAAACACCGCCTGATCTTGCCACTTTTCCATACTGAAAAAAAGAGAAAAGAGAAAAAAAATAGCGACCTTGCTGACTTCGGCTAATTGTGGAGGCATTGGGAGTCGACCTCGCTCGACTCTGCCGTAGCCAGCACATTCAAGCATGGTCTACTGCGGGCGCCCTTCGGCAAGTTGCGCGCTTATGTCGCACCAGCAAAAGACGAGTTCGTACTTTGCTCATCATATATAGCTTGTTCTATCATCACTGACCAGCCACTACATCCAGTGCGACAAAGTGGTTCCATCCTGCGGACAATGTACGTTGCGATGCCCCCTTTCCCCATTACATGCGAGTCCCATAACTCACCACGCCCCGCCGCATCCCAGGCCGTCGGACGGGCCAGAATTGCTCAGGCTACCGCGATGCATCGAGCCTAATCTTCCGCGACGAGACGACTCGTGTCATCGACCGCGCTCGCACTCGCAAGACACGACGTGCGAATTTACCCTCTAGCCAAAGGACATCTCCCACACCATCTCCCGCCTCCTTCGAGCTGTCGTTGGTCGGGTTGCGGCCCCCGGCTTCATTGTCTCATGACTTCGCGACCAGGTCCACACAATACGATTACGGTAAGGACAACGACAACGACAATGGCAATGACCCGAACATCCTAGAAATCTCAAACCGAGAGGATGATGCTAAATATAAACAGGACAAGAAACAGAGAGCAGCACACAAATGCAAAGGTGTCGCAGACGATCTCCTGGATAGCATCATGGAAGACAATAGCCCACTTGGGCCAGAGGACATGAGCATGTTGTGGGAGCCAGGTCAACTGATGCCCGTATCATTTTTGTCGTCCGTCCAATCCGCGACGCCAGGCCTCGATTTTGACCATCGGTCTCTGTCGATGCCGGTATCTCCTATAATGCCATCTCATAGTCTCGACGAGCTGGGGATAAACTACTTCATGGCCAACTACGTCATAAAAGACTCCGGACTGTGCCCTGGCGTCTTCAACTATGCCAGCAACATCCTCGCCGGTCCGTTCGGAGACGCAGAGCTGGCACGCGTAGCCATCCGGGCAGTAGGCCTCGCCGGGCTAGCCAGCACCACAGGCACCGATAGCCTCATGCGCAAGGCGCGCCTCAGCTACACCGAAGCTATCGAGAGGGTCAATGTGGCGTTGGTGGATTCCAATATGGCCAGGAATGACAGCACCATCTTCGCTGTAATGGTCCTGGGACTCTTTGAGAGCATCACATGCTCGGGCGAAGAATCCCTTCAAGCATGGAAGTGCCACATAAACGGCGCCGCTAGCCTACTGATGCTTCGCGGCATGTCCCAGTTCCGTACAATGCAGGGTCTACAGATCTTCGGCGAGGCCATCTCCCACGTACTCACACTATGCTCGCGATATGACCAACCTGTTCCACCGCGCCTGCGCTATTTGCGTGTCGAGATGGAGCGTAATGTCATCAATGGCAAGAGTCCATCTTGGATACTAAGTACTGCGCACATCGAGGTTATGAATTTGTACAACCAAGTGCAGCCAGAACAGGAGACACCTTGTCTGGCCGGGGAGTGGGAGACGCTGCTCTCTCACGCCGCCGAGCTCAGTCAGCGAGTCGAGAATCTCTTCGCTGAGTTGCCTATCGGCTGGCGTTCCAAGACTGTCAGTGACCCTACGGCAAATCCACGCCTTGTCTTCCAAGGTAAATATCATATCTACTACAACACGTGGATAGCCAAAGTGTGGGATGGGATGCGTGCATGCCGCATTATCTTGAACCACGTTATCTATTGCCTACTGCTACGCGAGGGACTTGCATGGACACCACACGAATTCTCAGACGGCGGTGCTTACACGAGCCTGCTACAGAGGACCTCGGACACGACGACAGAGATGCGCGACGGTATCCTCGCGTCGGTGCCTCAGATGCTTGGCTTTATCCAACACGAGGCCACAACTGGCGCCTCGTATATAGACTGTAGCAGTGGCGCTGACCCAACACGCTTGGTCCCAGCCTCGGGCGCGTATTTTGTCGTCTGGTACTTGTACCTTGCCGGGAGCCTCCCGATCAACACGCCAGAGATACGTGGATGGATCACGGACCGCCTGCGTGCCATCCGCTCTACGACCGGCATTCAGAAAGCAGCCTATCTGGCCGACTTGGTAGAGAACGATGCTGGCCGTCTTACTGCCATGCTGCCGACGAGCGACTGTTTGCTTCCCGCCTTTTAATATATTTGAAGTTATATTCTTGGTTATTGCATATGTTATACTGTACGGAGGTAGCGGTAATTGGTCATTTTGTATATAGCGATGGGAATTTAGTAGATATCAAACGATTTAAAGTGAACGTTACAATACCTATAATGTTGTGGGCATAGTGGACGTTATGAGGTAAATTCCATAATTTTTGTGATTTGTTATTGACCTATGTGCGATATATATCTATCTAGTGGCGCAGCAAAGAAGAAAACATCCGGGAGTTACCGAGTTGAAATCATCGTAATATTTCATATAGGCTCTCTTTTATATATATTTACATAGCGGGTAGGTACTCTACACCCAATAATCCTCCACTACCGCCCCCACATGCCTTACGGCCACTAAAGCAGGTTGCGGTACAGGTTACTCAAATGGAAAAGTGTGACAATAATCGCTACTGCCATATTTCACTCCCACATTCTCCTACCCCATGCGGTACTCTATGGTTTGCTGGTGTCGCATGCAGGTCTCCGTCCCTTACTAGGTTTGTGTTACCCAGCACTAGGCAGGCATACGCAGGTCGACAGAAGCTTTTTCGTTTCATGAGGTTTGAGTTATTGTGAGAAGGCGAACACACATTTCCTCTTGAAGACCGTGTTAGGCCACGTTCGGCAAGGCTCTCGAATCGTGGAAATCCTGTCACTACTCATCCCAACCATCCTGAGCCTTAACTTACACCAATCCTGAAAGCGCTGAGACGAAACAACTTAGGATGGATCTATATAACATACAAGGCTAGGCAAACAAGAATCAATCATATCAAGCATCAATTGATTCAAAATTTGGCAGTGTTTTCCAAGTCAACAAATTTCTCTCGGTTTCCAACTATTAACTTGAAATCAAATGAAAATGGCGGCCCCAGGAAATATCGCCATCGATGATCTCACTGGCCGGTGGAGCATGGTACGTACAGTTCATAAGCTGCAAATAGCTTCCTGTCCCAAATAATCCAAAAATGGTTGGCTCTTCACTCCAGAACCTTCAGCTATCGGAATCCTATGACTCCATCCTCAAGGTCCAGGGCGTTAACTGGCTTACCCGTAAGGTCCTCAACGTGGGCAACATTACCATGACCATCAAGCAATATGCCGACAAGGCCGGCTTTACGCACCTCACCATCGACTCCAAGAGTGGATCCGGTGTACCAGGCTCTATCGAAAACCGCCTTCTCAACAACGAGACCAGACACGCCAGCCACCCGTTATTTGGTAAGATTACAGGCTGCACAGCCCGGGTCAACCTAGCCGACCTTCCATCCGCATGGCTCGCGGATGGCTGGGAGCAGGGCACTACCAGGGCCATTATCATAACCACTGAGCACCTTGACATCGACAGAGTTACTTAACAGGCTGGTGGTTTTGAGCAGCTCAACGGCGAGTATCGCTATATCCGCCATATCGAGGTTCGCAAGGGCGGCGAGACCCTCAAGGCTAAGCTGGTATATGACTACCTAGGCCCACTAGAGTAAGACGGGTGATCGCCATATGGTGTTTAGTAGCCTGAAGGGGTAGCGGCAACCGTATAGGGCATCTGATAGTGGAGCTGGAGTCGGAGTCTTGCGGAATTTTGGAAGGAATCGAGAGGCGCCAAGAATATCCGGCAGTCGTCGAATTTCGGGGTATTGGATGGACGCGCATGCACTAGATGATGTGTATTAGATTTGGGCGATGTAATGAATAGAAGGGATTTGATGCTCCGAGTCTCCTAGCCTGCCCGACCTCTTGCCCAAAATGTGAACGGCGTAACAGGCTGCTGGTAATTGGTAAATTACAACATCAGGTGCTAAAGGTCAAGTGGGGGCCAAATGCCGGGCCACAGGTGGAAGTTGAAGAGTGTCCACAGGGAAAAGAAAGTTGCCATTTAATTTAGAGGTTTCAGGAGGACAATAAGCAAATAATTGACAGCGTTCCACAATATTTCCTTATAGTACGCAGACGCATGTCGCGCAAACGGAAAGGGCCAATGTAAACAAAGTGAATGAATATGCAGCGAAAGGCGAAAGGCACCGAAAGACGTATTTAATTGACAGAGTGAGAAGGGAAATGCCGCATTACCTCAGGCTGTACTCTGTAGTATAGCGCAAGATCAAGGGCCAATCATAAGCGGAGTGAGCGTTGGCACCCTGTACAAATTTATATAACATACATCATCTAAATGAAAAATGCATGAAATGATGATTACATATGGAGTACGGAGTAGAGTGCCAGTGGTCATGGACTTTTAATCATCTTTTCGTCTGTTTCTCCAAACTAAGCCCCCGAACCTTCCAAATTTGGAAGTTCAACCAAAACTTAGTAAGCACCCGCCGTTTCCCACAGGGGCCCTGGGGTTGCCCCACCCTGGGCTGCCCCAGTATCGCTACTCTAGGGTTACTGATAACATCCCTAGGTAGTTAATGACTATAACTACATATGGATGTAATTGGGTGGTAGTTCTCATATAAAATTCATCATATAGGCTCGTTTCATCAGTTGAATGTCATTGTAATGTCATTGCTTAGAATTATTTGGATCTTTCCAGAGTTAGAAACTCTCTTATTTACCCTACACCGACATTCGACATTATCCTTTGCAGGCTACATCTTCGAAGAAGTAACTAGTACGGTGTAGTTCATTAGACAATAGCATACCTTTGCCCTTATTTCCCCAACTCCCCAAGGTCCTATCTGACGGTCTCACATAGATCTGACTCCCGATAGTGAAACAATGTTTCACCCCCAATTCGCTTTTCGGGGAATGTCTCACCATCTTCCGCATCCAAAGCGATCAATCAGCATGTATTAGCCGTATCAGCAACAAAACTGTAGTCATGTTGTACATGTGTCATAACTAGTTAAGTAATCCCAAAATCGATGGGACATGAACAAACCCCACCACTGACAGGAACATATCTGTGACAGGAAAATGAGGTCCAGGTAGCAGCAGTACAGTAGTGATGACAGATTGGAATCAGCTATTAAATCGAGCACTCGAAGTGTCAGCATCACAAATAATATTGTCCAAGTCTCACACACATCCCAACAATAACCTTGGAATACGAGAGTGGGCTGCCCGACCCCGCCACGGGCGGGCCTTCGCTTCTGGGAGGTCTTCGGAAGTCTCAAGCATAACGCTATTTTTACACATTTGCGTTTTCATTCTCGTTTTTCGAGAGGGAAAAAAAATAGGGCATCCAATGACCCCATTTATTAGACGGTTTCAAGGTTACATGCGGAGAGTTACCTAGGTAACGTTATGAGCTGAGCCCTTTGTCTCTCTTTCGAGCTATCAGAAACCGCCCCACTAAGACTGGGCACACGTATGTGGGAGCAGAATTGTTTGCGAAATTTGATTGTTCTACATCGGACGACTTAAGCTGTAGTGAGACCTCCTGTGGTATAAAACCCAAGTTTGGCCCTGGACTCGAGTTCTTGGGATTACAAGAGCACTTCTTACAGTCTTCACAACCCCTGACAGCTTCTTTCGCTCTTGCTCAAATACTGCCAAAATGGATTTTATTCGAGCCCTTGCTCTGTTCTCTTTCTTGTTCACTGCCGTCGTGGCATTCCCCCAGCAGACTGCCGCAGGTACAACAACCGCAATTCCGGCGACAATCACCAAGGCTGCGTCGCTCAGCTGCTCGGATGGCCAGACCGCTGTATATACGACAGATTGCACGATGGGAACTCCTACATCGTACTGCGCTAGACCGGAGCCCCCCATCCAGTGCTCGGAGGGGTACTTCCCCTCGGTTTGGCACCCAGGTCATTGCATGGAGCAGTCGACCTGTTTTCCCGTTGATGCGTCCTGGATCACGACTGAGTGCTCGCATGGGGCAATTCCTTGGACAACCTCGACCTTGTATGAAGGCACCTTGGCGGGAGGACAGTCGACTATTATCAGTGGTAAGTCCCTTCCGGCCCATTTTCCTTCTTCAATTTGTCCAGCACTAGACAATGAAACTAATGTACCCGATATTTTTAAAGTGGTTTCTTGCTCCTGTGCCAGGGACCAATGGTATAGCGCGACCATTCTCCCAGGCGCATCCACTGTCGACACTTTTTGCATGCCTTCAAGCTCCTGTCCAGCGGGCATGACAACCTCAATCTCGACCAACACATACTGCGCAACGGCGCCGGCAAGTGTGTGTTCAGATACTCCCCTGGAGACCAACTACTGCAAGTGCGAGTCCGCAGAGCAGACACCCGTATATCCCGACTCTGTTGGGGCGGCTCCAACCGGATGTAGATCTTGATCAAAGAGAGAATGGTTCTTTACCTAAAGGGCTGTTTGTCATAGCTAGATGATAATCTTGACCTCGAGAACAGGAGACAAATCCCTCCTCGCAAATTATATGTATATATCTATTAAAAAAAAATCTCTTAATAAAACCAGCGGAAGCCATCGCAAGCAGGCCCATCCTTAAGATATTCTGTGGGGATATCCCTTGCCTTAATGTGAACACCTTGCAATCGGTCCCTTTTCTTATTATCCGCCATCATCCAAAGCCCAAGACAGAGTGTTAAGACAATCCCAACTCCACCAAATGAGGCCGTGGTGATTAGAGCAGGAAGATATTTGGGTGCATCCTGCTTTCGAAAGATGTTCGAGCTGACAACCCCCATCAAGTTCGCCAATGGGACTGCAATACTCGTCAATACCACACGACGTCCTTCATTGGCAGTGTTGTTGTTATACCAAGTGTCGAGAAGAACGGAAGGCGCAGAGGTTCCCCTATATAACCTTGTCAGCTTCTATCCCGTGAGTGAAGAAGGGGGGAAACCAACCAAGTCATCAGAAATGAAGCAAAATATGCTACATTTATATCGTGCTCAACATCAATAGTCGCATAGATCACGAACCCAACAAAGGTGAACAAAAAGCCAAGTGCAATGAATGGGAATCTCCATCTCGTCCAGTCACTACTGAATGCTAGGATGAGGAGAACTACAGCGCCTGATATGTTGGGAGCCACAGTGAATAGGTTGGTTTTCACAGTACTATATCCAAGGCGCTGGATGATCACTGGAAGGAATAGCTGAACAGCTTGCAGGGGAACACCCAGACAAACCTGAATCCCCAAGATAACCCAGCTAGTTCCGTGTTTAAACACTTTGAACGCATCGCGGATATCAAGCTTTTCATTGACCACAGAAGAACTATCAATTTGCAAACGAAGGTACGCGAGTTCTTTCTCTTCGGGTGTCAGAAAGCTTGCCTCTGAGGCCGATCGAGGTAGATACCAAAGTGCAAAGAGAGCGAAGAGAACAGTTCCTGCTCCTTCGATCAAAAAGAGATACCTCCAAGGGGCCAGTGGTCCTGTGTGGATGCGGAAAATTCCAAATGCCAGCAATCCAGAGAAGGCAGAGGCTATGGTTTGAGCTGCATAGAAGATAGCGAGTCGGCGGGCTAGCTCACCCCGACGATAGAAGCTAAGTTTGAATTAGAGATGATGCACTTCTAAAGGCTTAAAAGGATGGGCTTACGTCGTTTGGTAATAGATCACCAACGGAAAAAACGCGCTCTCTGCCATACCCAAAAACCACCTAATAGCGAAGAGACCGCTAAAGTTGTAGACTGCGACAACAAGAATCGTGCAAATACCAAAGGCAAGCATCATGCTCGGTAGCACAATGTTTGGACCATATTTCTTTCCCAAAAGACCGAGAAAAGGTGCAGTCAAAACGTAAGGGACAAAAAAGATGCTTAGAAGAAGATTATATTGATTCCCCTTTAGGGAGAGTGTTTCTATCATTGTCATTCATGTCAATGCGGTACTTTTCAGTCATCAATCCCGGTGGCGGCGTACCTTCAAGTCCAGCTGTCTTGGCATTGCCCAAATTGGATTTGTCCAGGCTGTTGAACAGATACATGATGGCCAACACAGGAAGTAGGCGAAGATCGAACTTCCATACCAATGCTCGCTCTGCTCGAGGGTCGATGTCGACGCTCGCGATAGTGACTGGTACATCTTGTTTTGAAGGGGGTGACTTGATTCGAAGTCGGTAGGCATGGTTACAAGCACAAATGAATGTAATGATTCCAATATAGCGATATCTACTCCGTACTCCGTACTCCATACTCTATTTAAACCTCCATGGTTCTATATCGATAAGCATGACACAAAAGATAACAAATTCAAGCTTAAACCACCCGGATGCCTTGGCAGTTCTTGGCTGATAAGCAACGGAGACGGCACATTCCTTATCTCTTGATGACACACGAAAAACGCTTATAATTTTTTATAATTGGAGTGGAATATCCACAGACGTACGAAGGATTAGTACTCCGTACCAGGGTCGGGATCTTACGGCTTCATTATGGAGTACAGTTAACATTATAAGAGTCAGTTACACAAGTATAGGAATATTAGTTATTGGTGGAAACCTAGAGTGTCGATCTCTTCGCAGTAAACACACGCCTATAGTTAACTATGTCCAACTGAGGTACTTTGTCTACTCCGTACCCTGTACATCGAGAGAACACGGTAATGATGGAAACGCACGTTTTTAGTACTTGCGACCGGGTCACAATCTTTGAAAGTGATTTTATTCGAGGCCGTGACACATCGTTATCAGCGTGAAGATCATATTCCATTCATAGAATAGTATTTGAGTCGATGTATTCCGTAGCCAACCCCGGAAGTCGATGTACTCCGTAGTGAACCCCGTAGTCAACCCCGTTTCCCCGCCCATTACTCCGTACTCCGTACACTCAGAGGGGGTACATTATTATTATTATTATTCTATTATTCTATTATTCTAATATGATAAATATGTAATGTTCTAATGTTCTAATCTTGTACGAAATCAATCTTCCTTTTTTTCCTTTTAACAGTGCCAATCGCCCAACACCACCGGGTGTTGGTGCGCCTCAGTATTTCCAGATACAGCTGGAATGCCGGAAATTGGATAAAATTAGAAGCGATTTAGAAGCGATCGCAACCCCTCGTCTGAATCCTCGACTAGCTAATTTCTTTGACAGGTTCTAATTCTTCACGACATCCCGCTCTCTGTCTGCCAGTGCGAGTACTCAGTCGTGTGCCGCTTTCCAAGTAGCTATTGGCCTATTGACCCATTTAAAGTGTTTGGGTGTTATACCTACGGGGTGTCGAAGTACCTTTTGTATAGGCAAACCATATAAAGGATACTTAATTTTGCGTTTTCGGTTATTCTTTTTTTCCGAGTTCTCCAGTGACACTCCAAATCTCAAAATGCGTCCTTTTACATGTGTATCGTTAGAGCCGGGGGAACTGGCGACTATCTGCTAGATGAAATTGCAGTACGGATTAATCACTACGAATGCACTGGGATTTGACAGAACTCCAGAAGGAATGAACGAATATCCCCCACCCCCCAGTTTCTGGGGACCGAGGCAGAGTCTGGGGTATGAGGGGTTTCATGTGGATTTCCGACGATCACCTACTTTGTACGAGCTAGTTTGACTGAATTTATCACTTCCACCATCAACGCGCTTTTGGTCTTTTAATTCGTAAACACCACAGCCTACTCCGCAATCTAAACTCGTCCTTCAATCTCACCTTCGATCCACTCGTTACAGGTCACGTCCGAACCTCCCAAGAAAAATGGCTGCCGATGGTCCCAAACCCGGCTTCTTGGGCAACCTCAACAGGGATCAGGAAGCCAAGTTACAAAGCCTTTGGTCAGTCCTACTCAAGGTAGCTCAAATATCCCTAACCAACGAACCTATCAATGGCTTCTCCGAGGAGCCTTGGAGTCCAATCCAACCCCAGAGAAGGTTGTCGCTTCTTGGCCGTACACAGAGCAATGTCTCTGAAAACCCCATGCCGATCCCGAATACACCATATCACCAAAGCATTATGAAATGCCTAGGAGAAATGGGGGCTGGTGTGGCTGAATCCAATGCAATCAAGAAGGCCCTCTCGGAGATCACACCCATTGAGCTTCGTACGGGGGTATTTGACACTCTCAAACACGACCACCCCGATGCCATGCTTTTACGTTTCCTCCGAGCTCGCAAATGGGATGTGCCCAAGTCATTTGCCATGATGATGGAAGCGATCGTTTGGCGATTAAAGGAAATGCACGTAGATGAAGATGTGATGGCAAAGGGAGAGTTATATGCCCTCAAACAGACCCAAAACAAATCCAGCATAAGTGAATGGAAAGCCGGAAATGACTTCATGTCTCAAATGCGCATGGGAAAGAGTTACGTGCATGGTATTGATAGGGCTGGTCGCCCGATTGTGGTGGTGAGAGTCCGCTTACACAAGCCTGGGGCTCAGAGTGAAGAATCTTTGGAGCGACATATTGTCCATCTGATCGAATCGGTCCGACTTACAATGGCTCCTCCGGTTGAGACTGCAGTATGTGTGTTGTTTTTGATAGCGAGGTAACACGGTGTCACTGACTCTAGGTTAGGCTGTGTTATTTGATATGACCGGCTTTGGGCTGTCCAATATGGTATGTCACTATTTCCAGTGCACGTAGCATCACCGTCATTCCTTTACCTTTATATAGCTAATGCTTTTCTTTGCGGGCAGGAATATCCACCTGTCAAATTTATTCTTAGATGTTTCGAAGCTAATTATCCCGAATGTTTGGGAATTATGCTTATTCATAATGCCCCGCGGGCTTTCTCAGGTCAGTGGATTATTTTGACCGAGGCCAAGGATACCACTGGCCTATCTTGCTTCTTTTTTGGTTCTCTTGAAACTCATCATTTCTATGTTTTAGGGATTTGGCGACTTATTCGAGGCTTGATGGATCCCGAAATTGCAGCCAAGGTTGAATTCACAAATAGTGTCACCGACCTCGAGAAGTTCATTCCCCGTGATCAGATCGCGGAAGAGATGGGCGGCGACGAGAAATGGTCATATAAATACATTGAGCCCAGTTTTACCGAAAACTCAAAGATGGATAATACTACGATACGGGACGCCCTGAAACGCGAGCGACAAGCTATCGGTGAAGAGTTTTTGGCTGCTACGTCTGGGTGGATCAATGCAACTAAATCAGAGGACGCGATGAAGCTCCATTCCAGCGAAAGCGAAAGAGCTTATCTAGCTGAGCGACTGCGTGTCAATTACTGGAAACTTGATCCCTATGCCCGGGCCCGTCTTCTCCTAGACCGAACAAACGTCATTCAGGATGGTGGCAAAGTTGAATTTTATCCTAAGACAGCTCCTATGGACCGTGATGTTGAAATAACCAAGGCATTGGACGTGAAACATTTAGAGCGGGTTGGGGATGCTGCCCTCGTCATGCTATCGTAGATATCTTTATAAATTCTAGGTGTTATACGTTTACAATTCAGATATTCCCAAGTCCAGTTGGCCATTGATGCGGCCTTGTCATGTCCTTTTGCTAGATTTTAGTTTATATGCTTTCTTAGACATTTTCTCCCCCTTCTTAGGGCTTCCAGGCTACTCTTCCATGTGTAGGGAATTTTTTTCAAGGCTGATTGTCTACTCGGTGGCTCCTTGTCGGACTCGGAGCAGACTCGGCTCATCCATATCGGACGCAATGTCCTGGCACATGCAGGCCCGAATTATGCCACCAAGCTTATGCTAGCTTTTCCTGCGTGCGCTACCACGCTCATTAAGCAACTGTTATACGTGTAAACTATATTTTGACTTCTTTCTCTTCTTCTTTCTCTTCTTCTTTCTCTTCTTCTCCCTTCTTCGCTCTTCTCTCGCCTCACCTTGCCCAGCGAACCAGAGGGTCATATCTAATGTTAAAGGAAATCCTTCTGTTCTACACCAGTAACCATAGCAATGGAGACTTGCTCTGACAACTGAATACCGTCACCGACCACAAACAGCCCGAGAGACTGGATTCACAGACGAGTGGATTCACTGTCACTTTAGAACTGTGCGCCATTGTTTCGAGCCCAAGCTGATCCATCAAATTATGTGATCGGTTGATAATGGCCCAAAGCTGTACCTACATAGTGACATCCTCTGGTAATTTTAGGCCCGTGAGAGCAAGTCCCCGGGCCGGCCCGGGGCCTCCAACCTGATCCTTAGTCATCCAACTCCGAGTTCCGAGGGCCGAGCTCCGACAACTACATCCATGGATAGATGTAACTAACACCTTCAAATACTTCCAGGTTTGCCTTTTGACTGTCATCCTCTGATAATATCAGGTGTTCGTACAATGGCGACCCCCCGCCGTAATGGTCAATTATCATCCTGCGAGCCATGCCGTACCTCAAAGTTGCGATGCGATCATGTAAGTCCCATTTGTGGACGATGCGAGCGCCGCAGTCTTCATTGTACCTATCACCCGGCACCATTGACGCAGCCCCTCACTGGAATACGCCCCAAAAAGAAGCGACGTGTTGTTTGCGAATCAGATCACCCTAGTAACGTCAATCGACTACACAATGAGAACGATTTATGGACTCGGAAAAAGGCATCAGTCTCGACCCCTGGATTTTTGGGGCAAACTAGCTACTTCGATGCGTTCACAGATACGAGAACCGGACTCCTCGTAGGAAATCCATATGTCACAGGCCATGATAGTTTCCCCGTTGACCAAAAGCGGATCAATCTCGGTGCCCGGGTCTTGGCGCTTCTGGAGAACCTCCCATTTTATAGGGAAGTAGTCACCGCTCGATTCAAGATATGGACGGGATGGAGCCTTGGCTGGCCTGTCACCAACATGGTTTTTACTCTCGCAGAAAAGATGTGGAACTCCCTAGAAACTGAGGGCATGGACACAAACCAACGAGCCTTGTTCTTGTCAAAAAGACTTTTTGAAACCCATAACCGGGCACTTGAGGTGCACCCTTCAATGACCTGGGAGGACTTCCAATCCGCTGCTGCCGGGAGATGGGAGTTGATTGGGCTATTATTTACTCTGACAGGCCTAGCCACGGACTGGATCCCTCACAGTGACCGCATCTTCATGCGTCCAAATACGATGGATCCGAAGAGTCTCGCCATAACCGCTACTGCTGTGGGAGACATATGTCTCCAGTTCTGCGATAGCACTGGAATTGTGAATGATATTGTGGCCTGGTTTCTACTGCATCATACTACGCTTTTGGCAGTAGTTTACGGTGAAAGTGGTCTGTTATTCCGTTCTTTGCCTGCCAACATTGCCTAACGGTGTTCATAGACTTTCGACCATGGAGAAAGTTGGGGGAGTTATCAACAACGGTGTTTGCGCTCGGGCTTCATCAGGATTCTAGCGGAAAGGCTCCTTTCTTTCTTTCTGAGATGCGAAAAAGAACTATGGTGGCGGCGTATTCAATGGACAAAGTGCTTGCCACTTTCTTGGGTCGCCCACCGCTTATAAGCTGGCGCTATTGTGATATTCAGATGCCGCTTGACTTGAGCGTTGAGGAAATATTCGCCGATCCAGTCGTCCGTGATGCGGCAATCGCTCGACTGGATGAAAAAGATGGATGGAATCTGGAGTCAAGCTTAGCAAAGGGCACGTGGCCTCGAATTGCCTTGATCACTAGCGTTCTCCGTGAGAAGGTCTTAGAACTTTCACTGAGTTGGCAACTTGAGAATCTCAGCCAGAGGGTCGAGTATGCGGACAGTCCAATTTCCTGCCACATCTAGGACATAGCTAATGTTTGCAGGGAACTTTCACGCGAATCTCGTCAATTAAAACAGGGACTACCGGAATACCTCCGTTGGAAACCTGATATTGACGTGGGAGTTGTTTCTAGAGTGGAATATGACATCCTTTTCGATGTTCATATAGAGTTCCTCTACAATGATTTCCTGCTCTACCGGACCCTAGGGAAACGTACCCAGACACAACCTGGGGCAATCATTGAAATCGCTCGAGAGATACTCAAAGCATTGGTCGTTATGATTTCCGAGAAAATTCGCTCTGGGCATCCCGTCAAAGATACTGGGTTTAACGTAAGTGGAGCGTATCTTGGATTGTGGGCAAAAAGCCGAAAAGTCGAAATCTCTAATGGCCATTAGGTATGCTTACCGGGTCTTCCTTCTGCGGGTGTTCTCTGTGCAGAATTACTTCGCCGATCTCGATCGGCAGTGGTAAGCTCTTCGCTTGATTTTCCTCGTTCGGAAATCATCCAAAATTTGACCCTTTTCGCGGCACATTTGGACACCATCGTTAAACCCCATGACGGTAACTACCGTGTCGCACAGCAGGGTCAGAAAGCAATCCGCCATGTCTTGGACCAGGTTCTCTCCGTTGATGGTCTCACCTCCGTCGTAGAAGACACTGGAATGAGTGACAAATTGATTGATGATTCCAGCTTTCTTGACGGTGTGAATTTCGACGATCATGACTTATTCCTTGGTTGGCTTGATGGCAATATGCAACATATGTCCGACTCTTGGCTGGCATGGGTCAATTTTACCTAAATATTGTCAAGCATTAATTACATTCTCATTCTAACAAATAATGGCTCCTGGCATGGCTGTAGAATTTCAAATATTGTAGATACATAAGCTGCTGGTGCTCAGGTGGACCTCAGGGCTCCATCCGGGGGTTTCTAAAAAATAGAATACGGTAGTAACACGGTGGTAATACCGAAAATGGTTGAACAACGGTATAACATGCATTGTTGTCAGTCAAACGGTGTTCATACGGTATGTGATTTAATACGTAGTAAACGTCAATGTGTAGTAAACTAAACGATACGTATTTGCATGGCATAATACGTTTTTGGCGAAGAGAATACGTATTGAGCTTGCTGCGTATGTTGGGACTCGAACACGTATTTGATTTGTTGATAGGTATTGCTTAACTCAAGTAACATGTACATACAAAGTGTATGCTAGCATAGTAATAAAAATTGGTACTGGGTACTGCCATCTGACACCGCCTAGGAACCTAGTTGAGGTCATCTCCAAGGGCTCCGATAACTAGATAGTACTCCTAGTAGACTGCGACATCGCCCATGGACGGGCGGGTGGGCAGTGCCCACGGGCCTTATGTAAGCGGGCGATGGGCACTATCAATACGCCCATGGACGGGCCCTACCCTTAGGGCCCATTGTCCATGGACACCGTGGGCGCCCGTGGGCCTTTTTAGTAAGCAAAATTAGCGCAACACGTGATTTTAATTGACAGATTTCAAAATATTTTAACTAAATTTATATTTTTTATATATTTACAATCATAATTCCGGATTTTTAATAAGATATATATAAATATATATACTATAATTTACTATATATCTAATTTTTATATATATTTAAGACAACTTTATATAATGGTGGGCATCGTGGGCATGCCCGCCGTGGGCATGCCCGTGGGCCTTGGGCGTTATGGACGGGCACTCGAAAATCCAAATAGCCCAAGGCCCACCGTGGACGGGCGATGGGCACCTCCAGCCCGGCCGAGAAATACGCTAATGCATACACCTCACTAGTAATAAATTCCATTGTATACAGCAAATTAAATACCTAAAAAGGCATAAGCTACATACTATTCATCCATTAGTAATGATCAATAATATTGGTATTACCAGTATAAAAAATAAGTACGTGCATATACATTAGCGTAGTTCTCGGCCGGGCGTTATAGCAGGGTAGACATTAGGGTCTAATTTCATAGAATCTGACATTCTTCGAAGGATTCGAAGAATTCTGATACTACGTGTTTCTAGACTGCGCCAAAACCCGCAAACCCGCAAACCCGAAAAAACCCAACCCGCAAATAGGTCGGGTTTCGGGTCGACTTTCATAACCCGCAATAGGTTTCGGGTTTGCTTGGGTAACCCGCGCGGGTTTGCGGGTTACCCATACGGGTTACTAAACAGTGCAAACATAGGAAGAGTCGTATCTATATAAATTATGTATTTCTTACCTGTATCTTGTTGTATTTCCTTTTCACCTCAAGGGGGTAAAAGCTCCTACAGCCCGCTCTAATTCCAATACACCACTACTATTTCTAACGGCTGTCAGAAATTACTTATACGTGAAAAGCCACTTTAGCCTATACTATTTCTGACCGCGGTCAGAGATTGTGCCTAAAACCTTCTTCGACTGCTACTATTATACTATATTTCCTATATATACTTAGATTGTAAATAACACAGTTATCAATTTGAAGCTAATAGTATTCCCATTTATCGTTATCCTACCTTGTACGTTTCCGGGATCTAACAAATCCACGTACCTGAGTATTCCCTTCCTTAGGTATAGATAGTGGGATATCACACTCTAGAACTTAATCCTCGTTACTAGTTAATAGAGTAGGCTGCTCGTCCTCCCTTCTATTACTAATCTCTACTATCATCCTATCTTCCTTATCATCGCTAATCGGATCAAACTCGT